GAGTCTGCAGTGGTGCGGTGGTAGGGGGAAACGAGGAGGAGTGAGGGGCACGGCGGAGCCGGCCCTCGACACAAGGCGTGCACGGGGGGGCGGGGGAGGAGGGAAACTCGGGGAACGAACCGGGGAGACCAAGGACGAGACCGTGCTGGGACATGTGACGCAGACGCGGGAGTGCAGGGTGACCAAGGCGGTGGTGCCAAAGGAGAGTCGGGTGAGTGAGGGACCGACAGGAGCACGCAGCAGCAACCTGGGTGGACGCAGCGACCTGGGGGGAAGACCCAGCCGGGGAAGTCACGGTGTCAAGTGTGAACAGGCCGGACACCGGGTCCCGGGGGAAAGTGGTAAGGGGGGCACCAGTGGCGGCCTCGGTACAGACAGCATACCGCTCGTGACCAGGGAACGTAGTGGTGACGCCAAGGTCCTGGAGGCAGCCGACACCAACTAGGTTCCTGGAGAACGAGGGGATATGCAGACCTGTGAGCGAACCTGAAGGAACCGCCGGACAGGGAAGGGAGGTGGAACTGCGGGCAACGACGGGACCACCGGAGGGGTCAGCAAGAGTAACTGCAGCGGGAACAGGCAGCGGCGTCAGCGTCGTGGAGTCGCGGAAGAAACACCGGGAGGCGCCAGAGTCCAAGGTGAAGGAAAGCGCAGCAGTCGCGCGAGGCGGCAGTGAAGCGGTGGAAGCATTGAGGCTAAGCAAAGCAGGAGATCCTACGCCTGACGCAGCAGGGGAGGCTACGACAGGCACATCTACACTAGGCAACACAGGGTAATAAGAGGGAAGCACACTAGAGTCATCAGCATACATCACATGCAAGGCTGCTACAATGGCATCCATGTCCAAGTCAAAAATCTGAATGCTACGCCTAAGCAAGCTGTGCCAGTCCGGGAGGTCGGGCGCCGGGCCAAAGCGCTGACGGAACAGGTCGTCCAGACGACGAAAACAGCGAGGAGTGGAATGACCGATCTTACCGCAAACGAAACCGCGGCGAGGACCGGTCTGGATCTGGTACTGACAGCGCCCGCCTCCAGAACCACCACCCGGCGCACCACCACGCGCACGACCACCACCAGCTCCAGGCCACCCAGGCGAGAGAGCACTCGCCTGCCTCGTCTGCGGCGGCTGCTGCGGCTGCTGCGGAGGCTGCGGCTGCGGCGACTGCTGCTGCTGCTGCTGCTGCGACTGTGGAGGTAGCGGGGCAGCTGGACTGGGCAGGGTCCCCACGTCCGCACCGGCACCGGACGACCCGACTCCACCACCACCCCCACCCGCACCCCCGCCGCCTCCGCCGCTCCCAACCTTGGGGCGGCGGCCCTTCCCCGAGCGGGACTGCACTGCAGCAGCAGTCTCAGCCACAGCGACAGAGCCGTCGGAGAAGGTACACTGAGCGGGGGCACAACCCTGAAAGATAGGGACCGGTACTGTACCGCTCGCCTGGGCGATGGAGCGGTGACGAGTCTCTATAACAGTCAGGGTGTCAACAAAGTCGGTGAGGGTGAGAGCAGCGGGGTGGATGCTAAGGAACTGGTCGCGGGCGGCGGCAAGGCGGTCAGGGAGGCGGGTGGCAAGGAGGTAGAGGGTAGAGGTCATGGGAGGCTGGTGGACTCTAAGCTGTGCATCAGTGCAGGCAGCGCGCCAGGTCTCATCGATCGAGCGCAGGTGGGCAGCGAGGTCAGAGACAGTGGGGAAAGACGCAAGGTCAGGAAAGAGCAGGGGGAGGATCAGGCGACCCACTGAGGCAGCAGGAGGGGTAGAATAGCGCTTGATGACAGCATCAAGGTAGGCCTGAGCGGTAGTAATGGTTCTAAAGCGAGGGCGCTCAGGGGGGGGGGGGGCACTGCTAATGGCGAGCTGAGCAAGGGCATCGCGGGAAAGCCAGACAGAGCGGGCAAGGGCAGCGGCGGTAGTGGACTCGCGCTCAGCGGGCGTGGGATCAGCGGGCAGCACAGCAGGGGGGTCAGGGCAGGGGAGCATACCGTCTAGGTGGGCAGAAAGCGGGTGGCCGTCCTGCCGCTGACCAGTGAGGTGGCGGCGAAGGTCAGCCAACCACGCCTCGAACTCCAGAGGCTGACCCTCAGCATCAAAACGAAGCTCAGCAGCCATCAGGGGCAGTGTAGGACGGTGGAGGGCGGTGTAGTGCTGTGCAGTGCGGTGCAGGGCGGTGCAGTGCGGTGCAGTGCGATGCAGTGCGGTCCAGTGCGGCGCAGTGCGGTGCAGTGCGGTCCAGTGCGGTGCAGTGCGATGCAGTACGGTGCAGTGCGGTCCAGTGAGGTGCAATGCGGTGCAAGGCGGGGCAGGGAAGTGCAGGAGGGTGCAAAGCGGTGCGGGGAACGGGGGACAGTACCAGGAAGTATGTAGGGCCGGGGCAGGCGCGACGGGACCGGGCAGGCGCGACGGGGCCGGGCAGGCGCGACGAGGGGCCAGGCAGACGCGACGGGGCCGGGCGGCTGCGACGGGGCCGGGCGGCTGCGACGGGGCCGGGCGGCAGCGACGAGGCCGGGCGGCTGCGACGGGGCCGGGCGGGCGTGACGGGGCCGGGCGGGTGCGACAGGGGCCAGGCGGCTGCGACAGGGGCCGGGCGGGTGCCACGGGGCCGAGCGGCTGCGACGGGGCCGAGCTGGGGCGACGGGGCCGAGCAGGTGTGACGGGGCCCAGGAGGGGCGCGACGGGGCCCAGGAGGGGTGCTACGGGGCCCAGGGAGGAGCGCGGCAGGGCCCAGGAGGGGCGCTAAGGGGGGGCCCAGGAGGGGCGCGACGGGGGGCCCAGGGAGGGGCGCGACGGGGGCCTGGGAGGGGCGCGACCGAGCCCAGGAGGGGCGCGACAAAGCCCAGAAGGGGCGCTACGAAGCCCTGGAAGGGGCGCGACGGGGCCTGGAGGGGCGCTACGAAGCCCTGGAAGGGGCGCGACGGGGCCTGGGAGGAGCGCGACGGGGCCTGGAAGGAGCGCGACGGGGCCTGGAAGGAGCGCGACGGGGCCCGGGAGGAGCGCGACGGGGCATGGGAGGAGCGCGACGGGGCCTGAGAGGAGCACGACAAGGCCCAGGAGGGGCGCTAAGGGGCCCAGGAGGGGCGCGACGGGGCCCTGGAGGGGCGCTACAGAGCCCAGGAGGGGCGCGACGGGGGCCTGGAGGGGCGCTACGACGACCTGGAAGGGGCGCGACGAGGCCTGAGAGGAGCACAACGGGGCTAGGGGGGGGGGGGGAGTCGCGACTGGGCTCAGGAGGGGCGAGGCTAGGCTAGGAGACGCGACGGGAGGAGCGGAAGCGGTAGGTGGGGGGGGGGGGGGGGGGGTGGGGGTCGAAACCTACGCGTGATACCATCTCAGAACTAGAATTGAATTGTCATGGAGTTAGAGAGTACATGCACATATACCTAAATATTGTACCCTCTAGGAGGTTACCCTATACAGTCTATACAAACATGATCAATAAACATGTTTGACACAGGTATGAGGGGTGTTAAATTATATATTTTGTTATATAATTGGTAGGCTTGATAGGTGTTATTGAAACCTACTATAGAAGGTACAACCCCCCTCCTTGTATCCCTCTCTTTTCTATTCTCGACCCCTTTTCTCTCCTCAACTTTCTCCTAGCTAAACCCTCACGTCATTTCAATGGCTTCCCTCCTACCTAGATCCTAGCTTAGTTTAACAAGGGGGCGTGACTGGTCCTTGGCCAAAATCACTCTAGCAGTGTGACAATTTGTACGCAGTGAAGTCCGAATTGGTCTAAGGATCAGAAACCTAAAAAATCTACCTGATGAGTCAGGCTTTTTTTTCTTCTTTTTTTTGCATGACAAAACATGCTCTGGCTAACATAATGTGCTAGGTTAAAATCCTACCCACCCTAAAAAATCGCCAAGGTTAAACCCTATCATTTCAGCTCTGAAAAAAATCAGTCATGATCATTCAGCCTTCGAAAACCCGACCCTGAAAAAACGGGGGCTCCTTCTGGGGGCACCCTGAGCCAACAGCCCCTAAAAATGCAATCTGAAACCCTGCTCACTACAAAGGGTCTGCCAATGGGCAAAATGTGGCATTGTAATATTTATTATATTTTCTGATAATGTAAGTATTTACTTCCGTCTTTTTTTCTTGGAGGTGTTCACTTTGTGAGTGTAGCCCTTCATAGCACTATTGGAGGAGGGACACATGGTTATTGTGCACACATCGTCTTTTGTGCAGGCGACAAACAATCAGCTTCCGCCAATCAGCTTCTTCGTACGACTGCCACAGTGCCAATAACCCGAGCCAACAGCCAATGGGCGCACCTTGTGCTCATATCCAAGTCAATATCAGCAATCCTTCCTCGGCGGAGGGCCATGGAATTGGATCTCGCATTGCGTTGTGTGTGGTGCCGGTTGCGACACGCAAGACCACACCAAATTCAAGGTGTCGTTTTTGGTTCCCCTGAAGCCTGATCGTTCGTTGTCCCAATCCCAACACCACCACCCCTAAGCGCAAATCTTCTGCCCCTCCAGTGTCCTTTTGTTCATGTCATACAGTACTGCCCATGGTGTCAAATTCCTAAGCCCGCCGTACGTTGAGTGGAGAGCTGGAAACGAGAAACAGTTTAAACGTGTCAAAGTTTCTGCTGAGTTTATAAGCACTGGTCCCACTGGTGGGAGGGGGGTGCAATTCCGCTAATACTGTACGAAAACACCGTAATGCATGCGAAACCTGCACACGGGATTTGGTCGTAATTTTTGAGTCGTTCCCCCCGATCTCCACATTTTCCCCATCCCCTCCCCCTGTTCCCCTCAGTTTTACACGCGGCGCAGCACAAGAGTTCATTTACCGTTTCAGAACTATATCGAACCGTCACCGAACGCTCAGAAACTTAGTTAACCGCACTAAAGAACCATCTGTAATTTGTTATCATTCCCACCTTGCTATTGCTCTGCATGAGCAGCAGCAGCAGTAGCAGCAGTAGCAGTAGCACTGACCACAGCAGCAGCACCCCCTCTCGCAGCCACGGAACCAGCAGCTGCAAGTGCCGCCATCAACCGAGCACCACACATTCAATCCTAGTTGCAGCAGTATGCGTACTGATTGGCATTGCAATCTGCTCGGCGTCTCCTCCTGATAGCCTGCTGTGTCGTGGTATTAGTTCACCGCATCTCACGCCTTCGTGTTGCTCACCATAGCCTGAAGCTGACTGCGTGATCTAAGGGCATGGCGACTAGCAGTCCGCGCATACAGAGCTGTAGATTAAAGCTGCAGCCGCTTCGGCTAGATGCACTGAATGATGACGAACCGGAGTTGGGGGCTTATCGCGTAAGCGAGTCCTGCCGTACCGCGAATGCTGCTGTTTCTCGCAGGCCGCCGGTTCATAAGGGAAGAGCTCACCCGGTACTTCAAACGAGCCACTCCACTGGTAACATTGTAACATTTCGTTTGGCGAAAGTTGAGCCGGTCGCGAAGCAGGCAGCCGTTGCGCCAGCAGGAGCAACAGCGGAACGCCGATTTCTAGCCGCGGATTCGCCGGGAAGTGCCGTGTTCACGCGATGGGCTGGCTGCGACGACTACTACGCCGACGACGTCGACGACCCCTCCTGCGACGATTGCGACGATCGCGACGAGTGCGACGACCTCGGCGACGTCATCGCCGGCGACGCCTCAAGCAGTAACAGCGACTTCGAAACGAACGACGTGGATCAGCATTTCAACAACTTCAGCCGAGCCAGCAGCTTCGCGGAATTTTCCGCTGGAATCTCAACCTCGGGGCGGCATGCCCCTCACAGGAAGGCAAGCCAGTCGCAGCCCTTGACTCCCGCTGCAACGCGAGAGAATCCGCGACGAATTTCAAGCCAGTCGCAGGAGGGGTCGTCGACGAGGGGGCTGAAGGACGAGGCGTCCTCCCGCTTCACAGGACGAATTTCAAGCCAGTCGCAGCCCTTGACTCGCGCTGCGCCGCGAGAGACGCCGCGAAAAACGCCGCGAGAGACGCCGCGTCCCTCAGCGCATTTCCCGCCGTCCGCCGCCGCAGCCGCCGCCACAACCCGCCAGTTCCTGTGGTCGTGCGAGGAGTCGGAGGAGGACGAAAGCGCGGCGGAGGAAGCCGCTGTCGAGGCGCGCTTTGCGCGTTTCTCGGCGCCTTTTTCGGCCGGCGGCGACGGCGGCGCTGATGGCGGCGGTGGTAGGGGAGCAGATGGCAGAGGTGCGTTTAACGGGAGGTCTCAAAACGGGGATGCGGTGTGCCACAGGCGGAGAACGCTGTCGTGGTCGGATCTGTCTTCGTCGGAAAGCGAGGCGGACAACAACGAGGATACTCTGACGGCGCGACGCGGCAGCAGACCCGTAGTGATGTCGCGCGCGCCAGACTGGGGGAGAGACGGGGCGGGAGCGGCGGGCAAGGAGGGCAAGGCGGGCAAGGCGGCGGGCATTGACGGCGGGGCGGAAGGGGCAGAAGGGGCGGAAGGGGCAGAAGGGGCGGAAGGGGCGGATGGGGCGGAAGGGGAAGCGCGCAGGGGGCGGCGGAAGCGGAATCTGAAGTACCGAGCCGTTGCGGCCGCAGCGGCGGCGGCGGCGGCGGGCGCGGCTTCTATCTTGAAACGCAGCGGCAGCTTGAGGCGAGAAAATAGCTTCAAAGAGGGAGGGGGAAGGGACCTCCGCGGAGACGGGCGCGTGGGGGAGGAAAGGACGGCAGCGGTTGGGGCAAGGGGGGGGGCAGCGGGCGGCCCAATGCTGGCGGGAGCGCGGATGCGCGCGGCTGCGGGGGTCGTGCGCGCGGCCAATCCCGCGGAGGCGGGAAGGGGTTCCTCTGGAGGCGAGAGTCCGCGGAACGGCCGGCGGGGTCAACCCGAGGGTGTGCGGGGTGCGCGAGGTGCGCGGGGTGAGCAGACTCCGCGGACGCTTCGGACTCCCCGGTGTCAGACAGAGGGTGCGGGGAGCGCGCGGAGTGCGGGGAGTGCGGGGAGCGCGGGGAGCGCGCGTGATGAGCGGAATTCAAGGAATCCGCGGATGCCACGCTCCTGGAGCGACGCGTCTGGTAACCGCGGACTTGAAGGGCATCTTGAAAACCGGGGGGCGGGACTCGAAGGGAGTGACGCGTCTGGAAACCAGGGGCTGGGGGAACTTGAAAAGTATATTTTCGAGGGGCCTCAGAAACGGACTCAGCAGACTCTGAAGTTGCCGCGCTCCGGGATTATGGCGCCTCAACAGCAGGGGTCAGGGCAACTTGAAGAGTCGGTTTCTGAGGTGCCACAGAAACGGACTCCGCAGACTCCGCAGATGCAGGCGCCTCAACAGCAGGGGCCAGGGCAACTTGAAACCTTGGGGGCGGGACTTGGAGGGAGTGACGCTCCTCAACAGCAGCAGGGATCCGGGCAACTTGAAGACTCTCTTTCTGAGACGCCTCATGGACGGACGCCGCGGACGCCGCGGACTCCGCGGACTCCGCGCTCCGGGATTAAGGCGCCTCAACACCAGGGGCCAGGGCAACTTGAACGTGCGCGGATTCCGCCCACGGGGCAGAGCAGCAGGGGGAGCAGCACAGCAGTGGACGCCTTTAAGGCGCCTCAAGGGCAGTGCAGCAGTGGTAGCAGCAGTGGTAGGACAGCGACTATTTTTGAGGCGCCTCCAAAGTCAGGGCAACTTGAACGAGCGCGGATTCCGCCCACGGGGCAGTGCAGCAGGGGTAGCAGCACGGCGCGGGGCAGCGGCGCCGGGAAGGGGAACCTTGGGGGAACGAATGGGGGAATGGGGAGCCTTGGGGGAACGAATGGGGGAATGGGGAGCCTTGGGGGAACGAATGGGGGAATGGGGAACCTTGGGGGAACGAATGGGGGAATGGGGAGCCTTGGGGGAACGAATGGGGGAATGGGGAACCTTGGGGGAACGAATGGGGGAAAGGGGAGCCTTGGGGAAATGGATAGGGAAATGGGGAGCCTTGGGGAAATGAATGGGGGAATGGGGAGGCTTGGGGGAATGGATGGGGGAATGGGGAGCCTTGGGGGAATGAATGGGGGAATGGATGGGGGAGTGAATGGGGGAATTGGGAGCCTTGGGGGAATGAATGGGGGAGAGGGGAGCCTTGGGGGAACGAATGGGGGAACGAATGGGGGAATGGGGAGCCTTGGGGGAATGAATGGGGGAATGGATGGGGGAATGGGGAGCCTCGGGGGAGTACTCGGTATGTGGAGTCGTGGACGTGCGGCGTCCATGCCTGAGTCAGCTATGCAGTCGCTGGTGATCGGACGGCAAACAGCAACCCTCGGTAGTGTAACAGGCGCAGCAGCAGCTGGAAGTGACTATAACGAATCTCAGGGAACAGTGGATGAGGCCGGGCTCGCGGCAGTGGCACTCGCTTGTGAGGCGGGAAGTGACTATAACGAACCGGAGGAAGAGGCGGAGGAGGAGGAGGCTGGTTTCGTGGACCTCGCTTGGGACGCAGCCAACAGGGCTGCAGCAGCTTGGGGAGGAGCACCAGATGCAGCAGGCGTGACTGTAACGGGGGGAGCATCAGCACAGGGGGGCGCATACGTGACAGGGGGAAGAGTGGCAGTAGGGGGGTCGGAGGAGGGGGGGGCGGGAGGGAGGACGCAGCGGCCGCTGGAGCGACAGCTGTCGAGGGCGCTTGTGAGCCTGAGGGAACGTATAACGAGGACAGGGGCCCGGGGGGGAGTGGAGGGACAGGGGGGAGCGGGGGGGCAGGGGGGACAGGGGGGACAGGGGGGACAGGGGGAACAGGGGGGATGGGGGGAACAAGGGGAACAGGGGGGATGGGGGGAACAGGGGGAGCAGGGGGGACAGGGGGGATGGGGGGAACAGGGGGGACAGGGGGGATCAAGGATGGGGAAATGGTGCCACGTACCGATGCGCATGAGGAGGGAGTAGGAGAGATGATTCCCCTCCGGCGTACCGGGATAAAATATTTCTGAGGCGCCTCAAAAACAGCTACTGATAGGCCTGAGGTGGGGTTGGGAGTGGAAGAGATTCAAGGAAGATATGGTGCCCCCTCCAGGATCCAGCATTTCGGGTCTGCCTGCCTGTCGTGACTGTTGAGTCAACTCAAAAGTCACCCTCATTTTAATGCCACACAACACCTTCGCCTTGGGGAAGAGTGGCGCCCCTCCAGCATTTCTCCTCCACTGCTCAGCTCCTCACGTGAGGTGAGGAGTCTATTTTTGAGGCACCTCGAACATAGACTCCTCACGGATGGCGCGCATCCAGCACATCACCTCCCTGCTCAGCTCCACTCCACACTACCTTTGTGTCCGCTCTTGTTTTGATCTTGTAGAAGGTCAGAGCCTGGTTTCTGTTCAAGCCCTTGGCTAAAATTACTAAGCCGGGCCTCGCTTGAAACTTGTATTTCTTTGTTCTGGCTAAAGTTTCTGTTAATTCTGTGCTTACAAGATTGATCCTTATGCCGATAACGGGAGTAACACCATGCTGCAGCTCTTCCTCTAATGAGTAACGATTGATCCGTGGGAACTTACTTACACCTGTGCGCCCCCCATCAAAAGAGCGGAGTGGAGGCTAGGGTACTACAAATATGCCATGCACAGTACTACTGACACTAGTGCCTTGCTCCAAAGCACTCAGCCGCTCGCTTGGAGATACCCAGGGGGGCGTGCAGGGGAAGCAGGCCGGGCCCAGCGAGGCAGAACCCACAGACGCCATAGAAAAGGAAGGTCATGCCATGACCAGCACCGTGACCAGCAGCATGACCAGCAGCATGAGCAGCAGCATGACCAGCAGCATGAGCAGCAGCATGACCAGCACCGTGACCAGCAGCATGACCAGCAGCATGACCAGCAGCATGACCAGCACCGTGACCAGCAGCATGACCAGCAGCATGAGCAGCACCGTGACCAGCAGCATGAGCAGCAGCATGAGCAGCAGCATGACCAGCAGCATGAGCAGCAGCATGACCAGCAGCATGACCAGCAGCATGAGCAGCAGCATGAGCAGCAGCATGAGCAGCAGCATGAGCAGCAGCATGACCAGCAGCATGACCAGCAGCATGACCAGCAGCATGAGCAGCAGCATGAGCAGCAGCATGACCAGCAGCATGACCAGCAGCATGACCAGCAGCATGACCAGCAGCATGAGCAGCAGCATGACCAGCAGCATGACCAGCAGCATGAGCAGCAGCATGAGCAGCAGCATGAGCAGCAGCATGACCAGCAGCATGAGCAGCAGCATGAGCAGCAGCATGACCAGCAGCATGAGCAGCAGCATGACCAGCAGCATGACCAGCAGCATGACCAGCAGCATGACCAGCAGCATGACCAGCAGCATGACCAGCAGCATGACCAGCAGCATGACCAGCAGCATGACCAGCAGCATGACCAGCAGCATGACCAGCAGCATGACCAGCACCGTACTACAGGCAACTGCTACCTCCAAAGCACTCAGCTGCGCGCTTGGAGATGCCCAGGGGGACGTGCAGCGGAAGCAGGCCGGGCTCCCCAGCGAGGCAGAACCCACAGACGCCATAGAAGGAGTGAAGAATGTCAGGGAACCCCCCGGGGTGCTTGCTGAAGCCGCCGTACCTCTGGGAGATGGTAGAAGGGGGCGAAAAAGAGGAAGAGGGAAAGGTGCTGGAGAGGGAGTGGAGAATGTCCCTCTCCCGAACCTGCGGCGCCTCACAGCCCTAGGATGCTTGCTGATTCCACCGTACCACTGTGAAGACAAAAGCAGGTGAATGAGGGGGAATGCGCGAGCTCGGTCACTTTTGAATCGACTCAAAATTCACCTTGCGAGCTCGATCAGCGGGTTCGGTCCATTGAGATCAACTGGCACCTGAGTCGAGCTGGCTCACATGCCACCCAAGGTGACTAAAAAAGCACCTGAGCTGATTTAAAAAAAAGCCTGAGCTGATTTGAAAAAAAGCCTGAGCTGATTTGAAAAAAAGCCTGAGCTGATTTGAAAAAGGACCTGAGCTGACTCAAGCACCTGAATTGACTCAAAAAGCACCTGAGCTGACTGACCGTGTTCTGGCAGGTGAAGAGGAAGCTGCGGAGAGCAACGAAGTCAATGAGTTGGTCTGCGCCAAGCATGCTCAGTGTGCCGCCCACCCTGATCCAGAGGGGATCATGGATAGCGGGTGACATGGATAGGTAGTGACAGATTTGGTCCCAAGCACACTCAGTGTGCCGCCCCCCCTGAGTCATCGGGATCGGAGGCAACTCAAATGAGGAGGCAGCAGGCGATGCAAGTGAAACACAAGAGAAAACAACCACATTGAGCATCATATGTTGACACAGCATCATACAAGACTGCTTTTGAGTCGACTCAAAAGCAGGCGATGCAAGTGAAACACAAGAGAAAAGAACCACATTGAGCATCACATGTTGACACAGCATCATACGAGATGGGGCATACAGACCTACAGATGTGGCATCGGACGAATGGGCATGTTGACATGCCGGAATAGGGATGAGCATAAGAATGGGGAAGATGATAACGAGAGGGGAGAAGGCTCACCAGAAGGCATAGCACGTGTCAGCTGGCTTGTTGCGCCGCCCCTGAAACCCCCCGTCCACTCCCTGCCTCTGATGCCAGTGAGAAAGGATGGGATGGAGCTGGGGTGAAGAATCATCCAAAGCACGGACAAGTGAGTTTGGAATCCGCTACAGCCTCAATCTCTTTTGCGTCGCCCCTGAAACCCCCAGTCTGCTCCTTACAGGTGGTTTGTTTTTTATAATTCTCAAAAACAAAATACTCCTTACATGGAGTTCCTTCCAGCCCGATGGGAGGGAAAAGGAGGGGAGGGGGGATGAGAATGAACGCAGAAGGAAAGCAAGCAAGGTCACAGTGTGTAGTGAGGTACAGCAGAAACTATGGTCGAAACTGCACTGACATTTTAAAGGACACTGTATATGGTTACTCTGCCAACAATAGGGAGGTTACTCTGTGTGCAGTGTAATCCGATTATCCGCCCCAGCAACAGTGGGGCGGTTACTAAGTGCTAAGTGCAGATTCCTAGCAAAAGCTGATAAAATAGCATATCAGAAGCCACAATTTTTTTGGCGTCTATTTACGAGGCCTCTATTTATGAGGCGTCTATTTACGAGGCCTCTATTTATGAGGCGTGTATTTTTTAGGCGCCCAAAAAAAAGGCTGCAGTGGCATAGCAAATGGTGATAAGAGAGCATACCTGAAGGCACCAGTCAATTAGTGGAAGCAAATTGGTCGACGGGAAATGGGAGATGCATGTTTGCACGTCTGCTGCTGCTGCTGGCTCTTCCTGAGCCTCTGCCGCCGCCGGCTCATCATGCGAGCCTGCTGTTGGTGTTGGCAGCGATTGCAGCAGCGACAGCAGCAGTGGAAACTGTGATAGCTGTGACGACCCCAGTGCCGGTGCTGATGATGATGGTGATGGTGACGTTGGCAATAATGACGACGACAACGACGCTGCTCCTGCTGCTGCTGCTACCAATGGCGAGGAGGAAATGAGTTGCAACGCTGCCACAGCACAGTAGGTCGCTCCTCCTGCACTTATGGAGGTGAGGATGGTGGTGCAAGGATGGGAATCGGGTTAATGGTGTGGTGACGGATGTCCACATGAATGGTTTGATGCACTCAATTCAGCCCCCAATGCACACAACCGCATGCCCCCCAGAAACATTCCCCATCGATACACTTCCGGGCAAATGACCCTGGAAAATGCACGTTCTGCCCAGGAAGATCGCCAGATCACTACACTCCTGAAACTGCTTATGCAAGAAAGGAAGCAAACAGCTCTCCAAGAAGCGTACCGTGTGATTCAAAACCGGGGCCGAGGCCGAATCCCCCATCAAATGACTGGGGGAGAAAGAGAGGGGGGGATGAGGGAAATGCGGATTCCGTGGACGGTTTTGAAGTCACCTCTGCATCTCAATGTGTGCTTCCCGATAGTTAGTTGGGAAGGAGAGGGGGAAAAAGGGGAGGGGGGGGGGGAGGAACAACAGATTCTTAGCTGTCTCGAGTTCGCAGAGGGGAGGTTTGTCCCTAGTTATAACTGACAGATACTTTGTATAACAGGTAATACTTGGCCAGGGCAGGTGTAACAACTGCATCTGGTGAAGAGTGTAACCACGTAACCATCACCCACCCCATCCTAAAAGCCCCAGCCCCACGCCATGTGCTTTTGATTCGACTCAAAAGCAGTTCCAATCTTGAGATAACGAATCCTGCAGCTCACAAGGCTCACGAATCCTTGCTCACAAGCCCCAGCCCCACGCGATGTGCATACCTGTGACTTTTGAACGTAGTTCACAGCATGGCAATGTCCACTCCCCGCCTGTCCCCCATGATGCGGGCTGACTTTTGAATTGACTCAAAAGTCAGCTCCCCACTCCCCGCCTGTCCCCCATGATGCACCTTCTCCCCACAGGTACTGCCTGATGGGCTCACTGACAGCCTCCAGCACCACCCCATGACCCCCCACCCAGGCCTATCAAAATCACCCCTATCAAAATCCGCAGGGTCGATCTTACTTGTGACCTCTGGATGTAGCTGACAGCACGAGCAACGTCCACTCCCCGCCAATCCCCGATCATGCTAGAAATAGCCGCTGCCATGGGAATTGTCGGGAGTGGTTTAAGGGAGAAAAGAAGAACAGAGGGGAAAGGGGGGTGAGGAAGAGGCTGATTTTTTAGGCGCCTCAAAACTAGACTACTCAAGGAGCGAGTTGGAGGGGGAAATTTCGGAAGGTAGGGAACAAGTGTGCACTGCCTGCTGCTGTTCCATGGCATGACCATAACCAACCCAAGAATACAACGCTAGGGCGTGCTATGTGGTGACGCCATGCCACGTCTACCGTGCCAGCGCCCCTTGTCCACACGGTCTACCGTGCCACTGCCAGCGGCCCTTGTCCACACGGTCTACTGTGCCACTGCCAGCGCCCCTTGTCCACACGGTCTACCGTGCCACTGCCAGCGCCCCTTGTCCACACGGTCTACCGTGCCACTGCCAGCGCCCCTTGTCCACACGGTCTACCGTGCCACTGCCAGCGCCCCTTGTCCACACGGTCTACCGTGCCACTGCCAGCGCCCCTTGTCCACACGGTCTACCGTGCCAGCGCCCCTTGTCCACACGGTCTACCGTGCCAGCGCCCCTTGTCCACACGGTCTGCCGTGCCAGCGCCCCTTGTCCACACGGTCTACCGTGCCAGCGCCCCTTGTCCACACGGTCTACCGTGCCAGCGCCCCTTGTCCACACGGTCTACCGTACCAGCGCCCCTTGTCCACACGGTCTACCGTGCCAGCCCCCCTTACCCACACTGTCTACCGTACCAGCGCCCCTTACCCGCACTGTCTACCGTGCCAACACCCCTTCCTACAGTGTCTACCGTACCAGCCTTCCCACCAGCAGCCCTTACCAGCGCAGAATACGAATCGCATGTCGGACTCGCTGCCACACACGACGGGCATGAAACTGGGGAGGAGAAGGAGAAGCAAAGGGCAAGGGCAGGGGGGAAAGGAACTGGCAAGTCCGAACCAGGAGGGATGGCAATGAAGGGAGAAACATGAGCTTTTAAAAAGGAGAAGGCGCATAGAAAGGTAATAGCAAAGTGGGCATATGATATCCCAGGGAAGTTGTATTAAAATGAAAAAAAAATATATATATATGCGTGGATGAATAACTCACCTCTCGTCACCCAGCTCTAGATCTCGCAGAGACCTAGCCACGCCTGGCACGTCGCCTGCCCACACGCTGCTGCACCTCCTCAGATGCTGGAGGCTATTTAAGAAATCCAGAAAGAGACGTCAACTCACCTCCCATCTTGTAACTGCAGCTCTCTCAGAGACCTAGCCATGCCTGGCAACTCCCCTGCCCCTGATGCATCTGCACCTCCCTCCCTTCCACTCCCCCTATCAACCCCCTTCCTGCTTGCTCCATCCGCGCCTTCCCTTCTCGCTTGTTCCATCTGTTCCGTTGCTGCTTTCCATTCCTCGTCTCGTCCCTCGCCTTCTGGAACGGCCCCTTCTCGACTCAAATCCGCTGCTTCATATCGCTCTCTTGTAACGGCATCCTCCTTTCCTCCCCGTGTCCCTGATTTTGCAGGGTGTTTTTGAGAATTCTCAGAAACGGCCCCCTCACGACTCAAATCCGCTGCTTCATCTCCCCCTCTCGTAACAGCACCCTCCTTTCCTCCCCGAGTTCCACCAGGAATCCCCAGGGTCGCGAGGATGGCGAGGGCGGTGTATGTCATCGCGATGTGGCTGCAGTCGTAGGGGGACTGCTTGGGCGCCTGGGGGCGATATGGGTGAGATAACGGGGTACAATGGGGTGCAAAGGGATAATCATGGATCTTGCGCTTTAAAGGACTGTATTCCAAGCTGCAATCCCCCAGAGTGGCGAGGATGGCGAGGGTGGTGTACGTCATCGCGATGTGGCTGCAGTCGTAGGGGAACTGCTTGGGCGCCTGGGGGTATACAAAGGGGTGCAAAGGAGTGCAAAGGGCTTTCGAGTCTCTGGTGGACTTTGGTTGAACACGACCAGCATCACCCAGAGTGGCGAGGATGGCAAGGGCGGTGTAGGCCATGGCGATGTGGCTAGGGCGCCTGTGTATAAAAGGGGTCCAAAGGGGTGCTCTCGTAACGGCATCCAGCTTTCCTCCCCGAGTCCGACCGGGAACCCCCAGAGTGGCAACGATGGCAATGACAGTGTAGGCCATGGCGATGTGGCTGCAGTCATAGGGGGGCTGCTTGGGCGCGTGGAAAGGAGAAGGGTGCTGGGGGGAACAGAATGGGAAGGGACGCCTTGTCACAATCTGAAGACCAAGGGTGGTGCGGTGTAGGCCATGGCGATGTGGCTGCAATCATAGGGGGGTTGCTTGGGCGCCTGGAGTGGACTGGGCTGAGATCAAAGGGGTGCGTGCAACGAGATGCCAAGGGCTGTAGCATCCTTCACGCAATGTGACTGAAATCGGGATTTCCCAGAGCGTCAGGGGTGACGAAATGGGTGGTGGACGTAGTTCTAGTAATGCTTTCTACCAGAAAAGAAGGTGAAATCGGTGGAAAAAAAAAGAGGAGGAAACAGAGAACGGGGGATGGAAGTGATCAGTATGAGGGTATCAGGTAGCCTGGTAGGAACGGGTATGGGGTTTTAGGCACTTGGAGAGCACACAGCAATGAGACTTACCCCTTGAGTGCTGTTTTTCACTCCAATAGAAGGCGACCCTCAATATCCTAGGACGCCAGCAGCCAGGCACAAGGGACCCTCACTGCAACTGCTGCACCCTGCTGTTTCCCTTCGCTCCACTCACACGTCACACTGAGACTTACCCCCTGAGTGCTGCTCTTCACTCCAATAGAAGGCGATCCTCGAAACCCTAGCACTTCTGCTCCCAGGCACAAGGCGCCCTCGCTGCCAATGCTGCACCCTGCTGTTTCCCGTGCCTCGCTGCTGCTTGGAGCCACGTCAGCACCCACTTGCAGGGAAAGGGATGACACGTCAGCACCAGCTTCCACAGAAAGGGTTGACATGGATGTGGCAACTTGAGCGAGTGGAGGGGGAATGGTGGTGGCGACAGGATCTGTTACATGGTTACCAGCCTTTGCATGGGTGAATCCAGGGTCCAGGACCTTGAGTGAATGCACCCAGTTGAGAATCTTCTGGCGGTCGACCTGAGAAATCAAGCATAAGATAATTAGACAGTTTGATAAGTGGACCGGTTACATGGTTACCAGTCTTTAAAGGGGTGAATTATGAGTCCAGGACCTTGAGGGAATGCACCCACTTAGGAATCTTCTGGCAATCAACCTGAAGGCATAGTGTAAGCTTTAAGTCAAACTATGACATCGGATTGTTCATAATGCTGATGCTGACAATGCCGGTGCTTATACTGCACCTGACTGCTTATAACGCGTACCTGGTCGAGAGCCCGTGAGAGATCCAGAGCGACAACGCAGAAGTACGCCAGGGTGAGCTGGTGGTTGCTGTGTGAAGTCAACTCACGGTGCAGGTGCCAATGATGGTGATGCTTATAACGCGTACAAGCCTTGTCAAGGGCTTGCGGGAGAGCCAAAGAGACGACGCAGAAGTAAGCCAGCGTGAGCCGGTTGCTGTCATACATACTAAGGAGGACTAATGGTTGTAACGGTGATGCGTATAACGCGTACCTGGTCGAGAGCTTGTAAAAGGTCTAGAGCCACGACGCAGAAGTAAGCTAGCGTGAGCCGGTTGCTCTCCTGCGACTCGTACGCGGCGGGAAGACCGTTGAGGCAATTAACGAAGTACGACACGTGGCGATCTCGCTCGAAGCGCGGCTGTTTCCCGCCGGCTTCAGTGGCATCTTCTGCCGAGGACGACATCGATGCGATGATCCCGAGGCTCGAATTCGTCTGATTCAGATAACACAATCTAGAGACCGCGTTGTACACAATTCGTCGATTCGTCTGGTATTAGGATTCTGATTATTGAATTGGCTCGCTGGAGTGAGCAGCCTGCTGGCAAAAATTCCCGTCATGGCATGATGCTGTCAGGTGGCGCGAAAATGTGTGTCAGGAAAGTGGTAACTCCGGCTACCGGTTAACGAAGATCTCTACTGAAGTGGGCGAAGAGGTCCGGGCTCTGAATTACAGGGTTCTGCTTTCTCAACTGTCTTCGCCAGAATCGTGAAATATCGAAATACATAGATATGTTACGGTTTCGATATGAAATACAAGTAATACAATCATCAAACGCTTGGTACAACAAAACACCTAAAATCCCTTGACTTCATGGGAAGGGCCATCAAGGGCGAAGCCTGAAAAATGTCCACTGGCCTACAATCTCTTCCCCCCTCGCTTAAATCCCTTATCATCTGACCAAAACTTGGTCCCCCCTTCAGCCTCAACCACCCACTCTCCCCTTCCAATCACCCCTTCCCCAGATGCTGCCTTCTGGGAGCCTTCCCCACCCTTCTTCCACAGCCGTACTTTCTCAGGGGCAGGCAAAGATTTATGGATGCCCTTTTTGCTGCCCCGGGTAGACGAAACTCCAGTGTACACTGAAGCCGCTGAAACATAACCTCTTTTAGACGATGCCGATGACGACAATAAAGAGGATGAGGCATGAGACGAAGGGGCAGGAGGAATACCTTCCTGCTCTGCCAGGTGTCGCCACCTGATTCGCGGAGCAGTCAGGTGGGTTCTGTGCAAGTCAACCTGAACTTGAGAGTGCAGGAGAGCTTCCTTCCTCTGCAGCCAGATCACACCCCCCCCTGCTCTCACCTGCCCGTCCATACTAGGGCAAGAAGCTGACATCGGACCAGCCAATGAGATTTCGCCACGTGGCACGTTCCACACCAGCCCTCCTGCACACTCCACTCCTGTCCATGCCCTCCCCTCCCCCACCGACCCTCTCTTCCCTTTCTCACTCTTTCCACCATCCCGTCGCTTTGAACCTCCACCACTTCCTGCCAAGCCATGCCGCCCATGCCCTACCTCCCCCTGCTGCTGCCTCTGAGTACTCTCAGCGTCCTTCATCAGCCTCGAAATGCCCCTTAACGAACCAGACACTAACGAGGATGGCAGGCTGACCCAGCCTGTAACAGGGCCGTGTGCAACCACATGAGCATCGGCAGTCAGCCACCATTCCTGTGCTCCAGCCAGCTCAGAATCGTGCTCCTCAAGCCGTGTCTGCTGCTGCTCCGAATGCTGCTGCCTGGGCCCCAACTGAGTCTGTTCCTCTGACTCCACTCCTTCATTCTGTTTTTGAGGCGCCTCAAAAATTGACTCCACTCCTTCATTCTGTCTTGCACTCCTGCTGCTGCCATCGCTCACACCATTCTCGTCCCCATCGGCCAATCTCGCCCTACTCTTTACACCGGCCATGGCTTCTCTTGCCGAGCCTTCCCCTGCCGAGCCTTCCTCTGCCGAGCCTTCACCTGCCGGTCCAGACTCGTTCTTTTCCGATTCAAGCTGAGCGAGAGATGCCCGGGTGATGATCACACGAGGCAGATTGACGTGGAAGATTCCTGGAAGGCTGCAGGTGACAGAGCCAGTGAGGGAGAGGCGGGATTCCAATGCGCTCCAAGCCTGCGAGCGCACCGACAGGGAGATCAGGGGATACCAGGGGAGGGGACATCGTCACATCGGGGGATGGGAGACAAGGGGAGAAAAAAGCAGGGGAGATCAGGGGAGAGCAGGGAAGGGGAGATCAGGGGAGAGCAGGGAAGGGGAGATCAGGGGAGAGCAGGGAAGGGGAGATCAGGGGAGAGCAGGGAAGGGGAGATCAGGGGAGAGCAGGGAAGGGGAGATCAGGGGAGAACAGGGAAGGGGAGATCAGGGGAGAGCAGGGAAGGGGAGATCAGGGGAGAGCAGGGAAGGGGAGATCAGGGGAGAGCAGGGAAGGGGAGATCAGGGGAGAGCAGGGAAGGGGAGATCAGGGGAGAGCAGGGAAGGGGAGATCAGGGGAGAGCAGGGAAGGGGAGATCAGGGGAGAGCAGGGAAGGGGAGATCAGGGGAGAGCAGGGAAGGGGAGATCAGGGGAGAGCAGGGAAGGGGAGATCAGGGGAGAGCAGGGAAGGGGAGATCAGGGGAGAGCAGGGAAGGGGAGATCAGGGGAGAGCAGGGAAGGGGAGATCAGGGGAGAGCAGGGAAGGGGAGATCAGGGGAGAGCAGGGAAGGGGAGATCAGGGGAGAGCAGGGAAGGGGAGATCAGGGGAGAGCAGGGAAGGGGAGATCAGGGGAGAGCAGGGAAGGGGAGATCAGGGGAGAGCAGGGGAGGGGAGATCAGGGGAGAGCAGGGAAGGGGAGATCAGGGGAGAGCAGGGAAGGGGAGATCAGGGGAGAGCAGGGAAGGGGAGATCAAGGGGCATCAGCGGACTTCAGAAGAGGACTTATTGTGCTTGCAAGGGGCACCAAAACAAGCGTGTTTGCACGAAAGCATAAACGCAAGAAAGAAGTCTTGATGGGAAGCGACAGCATACATACAAGGCCGCCTGAGCTGAATTGCGTTCCTGACTGTGAATCCGATACAAGCACATTCCCTGCAATCACAAAAAGAAAGAGATAGCTCGGTTATGTATTTTCACCATATTGCCATTGCTGTACTCTCGATCCAAAATGCATGGTAGAGAATTCGGCATTGCTAATTTTTATTCACCTGAGACGTTGATTGTGGAATCCAGTGCTTGTGCTGAGTCGCCTCGAAACGCGTACAGAGGCCTACCTTCCTGAAACAACTGTCCTTCGACCTGCAAGGGTGGTGGGCACATGAGGACGGGAGAGGCGGGGAGAGGAGGGGAGAGGAGGGGAGAGGAGGGGAGAGGAGGGGAGAGGAGGGGAGAGGAGGGGAGAGGAGGGGAGAGGAGGGGAGAGGAGGGAGAAAGAGCAGGGGGAGGCGATAATTGGAAGGAGGGAATGGCGGACAGGGGAGGGAACTGGGGAGGAATGGGGGAAGGGGGACGGGGGAACGGGGAACGGGGGATGGGGGAACGGGGACGGGGGAACGGGGACAGGGGGAACGCGGACGGGGGAACGGGGGAGAGAGGCGAGAAACAAGAGGGCAAGATGGCGGTGTTGTGCACAGAGCTGAGGGCGATAAGAGCGGTTTCTGAGAATTCTAAAAAAAAAGAGCTAATAAGAGCAGCCTGATTGTACCTTAGTCGCAACAATGCCACCTTCCGCCATCCCTTGCGGTTTTCTTTCATCCTTCCCTTCACCATTCCCCTCCACCTCCCCCTCTCTCGCCCCGCTGGAGCGCAGCGAATCGGCGCGCAGAGACCACGCCAGCTGGCAGCCGCCCGGAGAATCTCCCGCGCTGACGAATCGGTGAAGAACCACGCCGCGAGCGCTGAGCGATTCGGATGTAGCGGCGTCGCCACCACCGCCACCACCACTGCCGCCAACACTGCCACCGCCGACATTTTCCCGAGCCGCCATCTTCTCCGGCGGCGGCCTTGCGCGGAAGCTGGATTTCTGACGCCTGCTGATCTGATCGCGAATCGTTCGCGAATGTTGGCCAAGCGTGGAAACGAGCTGCGAAATGTGGTCGCGAAACGCCCGTAACGCGTCGTCGCGGCCGCTTCGCACAGCTATTCCGTCCATGGCTGCTAGGATACCTGGTTAGAAGTAGAACGCCAAATATATCCAAGGCTCATCAGAAGCTAGGTGGAAGGAAGAGAGAAAGAAAGCTGGAGAGCTGAATGGGAAGGGCAGATGCAGACTATACTCGACACTGGCGAATGCGTTTCAGCCAACAACTCGAAACTAGGTTCAACCTAGAAAATCCGTTGCTACTCGCCAGAGAGGATATTATAGAAACTAATATTCCTGAATCAGGAGAAAAAGTTTCCTTTTTGGGCAAACGAATTTCCAACAAACGGTATGCTGAAACCTTGGCACCTATGCCATTATTGTGATTCCTGTCCGTTGCTTCCCGAGCCTTTTGTAAGCCTGGGAATAGGCAATGGGTGTGCCTCAGTGTTGAAAACATATTTGTCGAGAGGTAGGACGTCGTCCCCACCAAAGAGAAGATAGAAATACTTGAGGGTTTCCCCCAGGAAGAAAGTCTCCATCTTGTTGCGCTTGGGCGGGGGCACTCTTGACACGTCGTCGAGTGAAGTGTAGCCGCCTGTCGCGATGCGCGTGTGCTTCTCAAACGCCTGGAACATTCTCCACCCTGCCTCCCGGTACCTGGAATTGACACAACAATAGGGGGCATGGAGCATGGAAGTACTTTGAGGGTTTCCTCGAGGCAGGACGCCGTCCGTCCGCGAGAGGCAGGACGCCATCTGTCGCGCCAAAGAGAAGGTAGAAATACTTGAGGGTCTCCCCCCAAAAAAAGTCTCCATCTTGTTGCGCTTGGGCGGAGTGGGGGGGGGGGGGGGGGGGGAGGGGGGGGGGGCACTCTTGACACGTCCACAAATGCTATGCTGAAACCCTTCACACCCAGTGCTTCCACTGTCTCTGGTCGCAGCAGGTTGTGTCTGTCCCATACCCCCCATGTGGTGGCATGCCCTTATCACACGAACCGTGGGTTCCGGGTGACCCGGTGCATGTAAAGCAGAGCTTCCACTGTCTCTGGTCTCAGCAGGTTGTGCCTGTCCGCCTGGTGGATCTGAACGTCCCTCCCATACTCCCATGTACATACCCCGAGTGGTATGCCCCATAATAGCACACGTACCGTGGGTTCCCAGTAATCCGGTGCATATCAAGCAGTGCTTCCACCGTCTCGGGTCTCAGCAGGTTGTGTTTGTCCGCCTGGTGGATCAGAATGCCCCTCCCATACTCCCATGTGGGTGTTATGTTATGCCCCTAACACACACATGACGAGTGATATCCACCCAACCCAGTACAGCACGAACCTTGGGTTCCCAGTCACCCGGTGCATGTAAAGAAGAGCTTCCACCGTCTCTGGTCTCAGCAGGTTGTGCCTGTCCGCCTGGTGGATCTGAACGTCCCTCCCATACTCTGCATCCTGCCGTGTCCCCATGTACTCCTGCGAGTTCTCCTGTCACAAAGAGTGCACACGGGGGAAATTTTAAGTTGACTCAACAAGTCCGCCTGGTGGATCTGAACGTCCCTCCCATACTCCGCATCCTGCCGCGTCCCCATGTACTCCTGCGAGTTCTCCTGCGTAGTTCAGCACACAGAGAGAAAACGGCGTTGATGTGAATCAACAGCAGTAAAAGAATGACAAGAAGTCTGAATACAACAGGGATCAACAGGAGACAACAGGAGAACAGGAGATAACAGGAGTCAACAGGATTCACAAGAGTCAACCGGAGTCAACACGAGTAAACATGCACAGACAGAAGGGTTCCTCAAATCCATTTTGAAGTAGTCTATTTCAGGCGCCAGCCCAGTGGCCGTGACCACATACATCTGGATGCACACCTCCGTCACATTCCCTGCCAGCTCCAGCAGCACTCATTGAAAAGAGCTGAGCGCGGAGCCATTCACAAACCACACCTATGCTGTGCGCGCACAGCCACTCACATCTGAATGCATGCCTCTGTAACGTTTCTTGCCAGCTCCAGTAGCGCCCATTGACCACAGCACGAGAAGGAGAAAAGCTAGAGATAGGAGGAGGAGAAAGCACTCACATCCATGTTGAAGTAGGCTATCTCAGGCGCCAACCCTGTGGCCGTGACCTCATACATCTGGATGCACGCCTCCGAAACGTTCCTTGCCAGCTCCAGCAGCGCCCTCCCCTGCTGAGTCAGCACGCCCCTTGCTGCTGCCTCTGCCTCTGTCAGTCCCTCAGTCGCTCTTAAAGCCAAGGAACCCGGCAGGAAGCACACCTGGGGGTGAGGAATGGGAGAACCAATGTAGCACTTGAGTCAAACTCAACAGCTCCAGCAGCGCTCTCCCCTGCTGTGGCAGCACGCCCCTCGCTGCTGCCTCTGCCTCTGTCAGCCCCTCTGTTGCTCTTAAAGCCAAGGAACCGAGCAGGAAGCACACCTGGGGGCGAGGGATGGAGGACACAAAAGGGCAGCATACGAGCCATCTCAACAGCTCTAGCAGCGCTCTCCCCTGCTGTGTCAGCACGACCCTTGCTCCTGCCTCCACCTCTGTCAACCCTTCAGTCGCTCTCAACGCCAAGGGTTCGGGCAGCAAAGGAAGCACACCTGCAGGAGAGGAGGAAGGCAAATAGGGCAGCATATGAGTAGGAAAGGCAGCATATGAAGGACAGGAAGGACAGGAAGGACAGGAAGGGCAGCTGCAGGCAGCCCCTCAGTGGCTCCTTTCTGAGGGGCTGAGAACGGTTTTTTCTGGCAGGCAGGAAAGGAAGCACAGCTGCAGAAAGTAGGGAGGAGATTTACTTTTGCGTCGACTCAAGAATTGATAGCACATGAACCAACCATGCAGCGCCCTCTTGTGCTGTGTCAGCACCCCAACTTGCAGGGCACTGTCGCTGTCGCTGTCGCTGTCGCCACTGGCGTCAATCTCCATGCACTGATGGGTCGAATTTTGAGGCGCCTAAAAAATCCTCTCATCACGTGCAAGGCAGCTCTCCACGTACTGATGCTCGCTCTCCAAGGCAAGTACGCCGAGGTGACTTTTGAGCCGGCTCAAAAGCCATCTCGCCAGGCAGCTCTCCACGTACTGATGGTCACTCTTTAATGAAAGTAAGCCCCTTGGGTTGGTTCTCCACGCCACCAGCCACTTGGTGATGCCCCCCCTCCCTGCCTCGGCAAGCATTGGCACTAGGTGCTCCAAGTCCTCAGCATGCTCCCATCACATGCTACCCTCTGGACACCCGTTGCAGGGGGGATCTATTTTCAAGGCGCCTCAAAAATAGACTCCTCATGCTTGGTGTTGCCCCACACTGCGTCAGCAAGCATTGCCACTGGTTCCTCCAAGTCCTCAACATGCTCCCATCACATGCTACCCTCTGGATACCCATTGCACGGCCCGTCCACATGGTAATCCACATGCACTGTGTGCTTCTCCTCACGGCCCCAGATGCAAATGCCCCACAAAAGCCCCATTCGCTCACCAGGTGGTCCATCTTCGGGTGCAGCTCCCCGTGTATCCCACCCACCAGCCACTTGCTAATCCCTCCCACGGTCCCGCCGCCTCATCAAACATCGCCAGTAGCACCTCATCTCATCGGCTACAAGATAGTCCAACACATGCCCCATTCGCTCACCAGGTGGTCCATCTTCGGGTGCAGCTCCCCGTGTATCCCTGAGGGGCGCTCTGCAATATATGTCAGCCCCTTGGGTTGACTCCTGGCCACCAGCCACTTGTTGATTCCCCCCACCGCCTCATCAAACATCGCCACTAGGTAATCCACGTGCGCCCCCCTCTTCCCTCCTGACTCTCCTGCCCCTCCCCCACCTCCTTCTCCTCCCCCGCTTTCACTACCAGCACCGTCAGCAGCAGCACCAGCAGCGGCAGCAGCACCACCAGCACCAGCCGCATCTGTGTGATTCAATTGCTCGTCTATTGCCGCAACAGCCGCATTGCTTGTTGTAACACTTGCGGTTACCACATGCAGCGCCTCTGGGTGGTCCCTCTGCTGCAGGAACGCCTTGATGAGATACTCATAGTAGCTGTCTCCCCTGGATCCCAGGCGAATGTTCTCCCCGCTAAACTGACCCGAATCCGCACTGGGAATGGAGGGAAGGAGGGAGGGAGAGAGGCGAACAGGAAAAAGGGAGAGAACGGAAAATGTTACACTCGTGGTTACCACATGCAGCACCTCTGGGTGGTCCCTCTGCTGCAGGAACGCCTTGATGAGATACTCGTAGTTAAGGGAGAGAACGGAAAAACGGAGAGAACTGAAAATGTTACACTTGCGGTTATCGCTTGCAACACCTCTGGGTGGTCCCTCTGCTGCAGGAACGCCTTAACGAAATACTCGTAGTAAATGTCTCTCCTGGATCCCAGGCGAATGTTCTCACCACTAAAGTGACCCAGTTCCACACCGCGAAAGCAGGGAGGGAGGGAGAGCTGAACTAGAGCTGAGGGAGGAGGGAGGGAGAAAACAGAACCTGAGCTGTCTCAACAGTCACCACTTGCAGCACCGCTTGTCATTCCTTTTGCTGCAGGAATGGCACGAGGAGGTACTCATGCTGTCGCCCCTGGATCATTAAATTTTGACGCCACTGAAGTATGACATTTTGCACACACAGAATCATACAGGTTTATTAGAAGGGACTCCGAGTCTCACTCGACGTCAGAGGGCACAAGGCAACGACTCATGCAAGTCATCCTTGGCCGCACGCATATCAATCCAGCATGCATACCACACACAGATTGTTGTCTCGCGTCTCCTCATCTCAAGTGGGGTTTCAGGCTTCAGGCTTCTCTCATACATCAGGTTCATCTTATGCACACTCGATGCCAAAGGTAATGCTGCATACTCGATGGGCACGAGCCCATCGGGTCGCTGCAGCCCCGCACATGCTCCATCGCCTGCATCGCTGCTGTACTTTACTTCCCCTCCCCTGTGGCCTAACTGCCCCTAGCTCACCACCCCCTTCTCCCCTCCAGCCACCCCGCTATGACCCCTGCCCACCCCAAAAAACTCACTCCATGTAGATGGGCACGAGCCCATCAGGTCGCTGCAGCTCGCTCCATGTAGATGGGCATGAAACATCAGGTCGCTGCAGCCCCCGCACTTCCTCTCCCCCATGAGACGACTGCCCTACCTGCACCCCCACCCTCTCCCCTCCCCCCCCCCCCCCCTCCCCGGCCCCTCCCCCCCAACCCTCCGATGAATCCTGCCCCTCCCAGAACTCACTCCATGTAGATGGGCACGAGCCCACCCGACCGTTGCAGCCCGCCCGCATGCCCCATCACCTGCACGACTGCAGTGAATACAATAGAGACAGCCCTCTCTCTGTTACTCACTCCATGTAAATCGGTACAAGCCCATCTGGCCGCTGCAGCCCCCGCACGTGCTCCATCACATGCATGGCAGCTGTGCCGTACTTGCGCTCCCCCGTTAATCGGCTCAGCTCCCAGAACTCCAGTTGCAGAGTGGTGCATTCCGCAGTGCTGCTCAGGCCCCCTCCCATGGCACGCTGGGCATAGCTGTAGGAGGGCGACAGGGACACACAATAGAGGGTTGTGAGGTGTCTCAGACACCGTGCTACCTCTCTCTTCCTCTCCCCTATTAATCGGCTCAGCTCCCAGAACTCCAGCTGCAGCAGCGTGGTGCACTCTGCCGAGCTGCTGAGCCCCCCTCCCATGGCACGCTGGGCGTAGCTGTAGGAGGGGGGGGGACAAGGAGAAGAAAGAAAGAGTGGGGTCCAGCATAAGGTCACAGCACCACTTGTTCCTTCTTCTCCCCCGTAGCCCGGCTCAGCTCCCCCTATTCCAGCTGCAGCGTGGTGCTACTTGCTTTGGCTACTGAGACCACCTCGCAAGGCACGCTTGGCATGGCCGTTGGCAGAAACATCCAAAACGTAAGAGAAAGACAGCATGCGGGGGGCATGCAGGGGGCATGCAGGGTGCATGCAGGGTGCATTCAGGGTGCATGAAGGGAGAATGCAGGGGGCATGTACTAGGGAGCATGCAGGGAGCATGTAGGGGGCATGCAGGGGGCATGTAGGGAGCACGCACCTAAGACAGAAAACAGAACCTCAAAACTCTAGCATACCGCTGAGCCAGGTAGACATCCGATAGTGGCACGGGCGTGGGGCTCTGAGTGAATGCCAGCATGAGCCGATCCGCTAAGTCCACAGCCACCTCCAGATACTTCTCTGCAGCTGGTCCCCCCACGCCCCCCTGCATCCCCCCTCCTCCCCCTCGCCAGCTGGGATCCTTTTTCAGGTGGTAAGCGCTCAGCAGGCCACCGAGAACCCGAATCGTCGTCTCGAAAAGATTCACCTGCCCGGCTTTATTAATCTTCTGGGGCAAAACGTTTGCAACCCACTGCCCGGCCTCGTCCACCACGTCTTTAAGCCCCATGATCATAGCAGTATCTAGACCGTCCACTATAGTAGCCCCTAGCCTCCCCAACCCGTCCTCCCCGCCTCGGCTCAGTGGCATGAGCTCGTCCGAACCAAACGCATAGGTCCGGTAGCCTTTCCAGGCGTGCCGAAAGGCAGTAACCACCTGCTTCTGCCGTTCCTTCCACACAGCTTCGGCTTCTAGTGAAGGCTTCGAGGGAGCGGAGAGGCCAGGAGATACACTCCCAGCAACACTCCGATTCCCCATAGCTTCCACCCCCCCATTTCCTCCTCCTGTCCATCCCTCTCCCAGCCAATCACCCCTCCCTCCTGCCGCCCCTCCCCTTCTCCCCAGCTCGCCCCTCTCCCTTTGCCTCCTGGCCCTACCCATCCACATTCTAGCACCTTCCCCTGCTAACTCCCTCGCCTGCCCATTCCTTACTCTCCCCTTCGCCCACTGCCTCCTAAACTCCTCCTTCGCGATCGCCCGTGAGCCCAGCAGGTTTAAGCTTGAGTTAACCATCCTCCCTCCCCCCCTCGCCTTCTCCCTGCTCCGCCCTCCCGCCCCTCCCGCTCCTCCCGCCTGCCCTTCCATGCCTGCTTCGTCCCGGACCAGCCCGAGAGGGTCGGTGAGTCTAGCCCCAGTGGCTCCCGAGCCTCGGCTGCCGTCCCTGAGCTTGAGGTCCGGGACCTCGTCCCTGGGCTGGTTGGCCAGCTCCTCTCTCTGCCTCTCCAGCTCCTCATCTAATTCATGCTTCCTTCTCTCTATCTCCAACTCCTCTTGCTTCGCCCTGGCCGAATCCTCCTCTAGCTTTCTCCTTCTCTCTCCCTCCGTCTCCTTATCTCTGCTCCCCCTTTTTCGCATTTCTTCTTGCTGTCTCCGCCTTTCCCGCAGCTCTCGAGCCATGCTGTCACTCCACGTCTCCTCCTCTGCTCCTTTCTCCCGGGAACTCGCCCTATCTACGCCTCCGCTATGCCTCTGCACTTTCCCTGCTCCGCCTGGTCCACCTGCTCCTGCTGCCCCTCCTCCCCTCTCTCCTGCTCCTCCTTCTGCATCCTCCCCACCAACGGCAACACCCCTTCCACCTATCCCGCTCTCCTCGCTCCCTCCATGCCCCCCCTCTCGGGTTTGTAGGTCAGGCGAAGCAGAGGAGGAAGAGGAGGAGGATGAAGAGGAGGAGGAGGAAGAGGAGGAGGAGGAAGAGGAGCGGGAGCGGTGGGAGGAGACGGAGACGCTCAGCAGCCAGAGGAGGAGGAGGACGGCGAGGAGAGCGGCAAATTGGCGCGCGGGGGACTGGCGGAGGTAAATTGCCACGCGCTGAAGGGGGAAGACCAGGGAAGGGGGGGGGGGGGGGGGAAGAGATTTGCGTCGACTCCAAAAGCCTCGACTTGCCGCGAAGGGGACTGGCGGAGGTACATCGCGAGACGCTGAAGGGGGGAGGATCAGGGGAGGCGGGAGGGGATTGACGAGAGTGCAGACGAATGGACGATAGAAATCAAGTAGGACAAGTCAAGAAGGATCCGTTAAGAACAATCCGAAGGGGGGAATTCTACACGTAGAGGATATTTGAAAATTATAAACAAATACCTACAGCAAGAATTTATGGATCTGCGATGTGAGGGAGGTCGCCGGCAGTAGTAATGTAATCCGAATAACGGTCATCACGGCAGCGTTAATGAAGCCTACCTAACAACGAGTCCTACCTTAACGAAACAAAAAAACCCTACCTTAACGAGGCCTACCTAAAAGAGTCCTACCTTAACGAGTCCTCCACGTCGCCGGGATTTCGCGTTGTCGTAAGAATCGATGGAGTCGTCGAATGACGTCACCATCGCAGCGACGCGACGGACTTATGTCCCCAGCTAACGCGAACGTTAGTTGAGGAACATGAAAGGCCTGAGAGGCTGACAACTTTTGAGGCGCCTCAAAACATGAAAGGCCTGAGAGGCTGACAAGGGCTTCGAGACTGATCCTGCGAGACTGTTCCGAAGCCTCTGAGATTGATAAGGACTCTTGGATTGATGGAGGACGAACCACAGACGGATGAAGGGGAGCAGATGAGATGGATGGGTATGCGAGAGTGACTAAGAGGCGGATGCCAGCGGGCGCTGCAGTACGGTGCTGAAGCTTCTGAAACGGTTCAAAACATAACATTTCGGTTTTGTGACGAGCGGATGTCAGGCCCAGATTCAGCAGTCCAAGGGAGCACAGGTATGGCACTGAACAGCATTTTCGAGAGTCAGGTCACAGCACATGGCTGACACGGTGGGATTCCCGCCACAGCTCGTCATATCCGCGTTACTGACTTCCAGCGACCATTGGCACAAACAATCCGCACAGCATAACCGACACAAACGAAACAGGCAGTTCAATACATTATTGAACAATCATTGAAATTGTAATCATTCGGGCCATTTGATCTCCGTAGCTGCCCTGGGCCTACCCTGGCATATATACCCATCATGACACGATGAAAGGCCCAGACTCTCCCTAAAATACCCAATGTGATGTGAAAAAGTAGACCTATGAGTGAACAGCGTAACCATCGCATGTGCCGCCACTAACTTATCCACCATAGCTCGCTCAACTGGCGGCTGATCGGGCTTCTTAGGCAATCGGATAACCGCAACTGACCACGCCTTCCCCCCTGCTCTTGCCAGTGCTGCTTGTGCCTCTAGCTGCTCCTTGAACACCGCCACTTCCTCATCAGAAGCATCTGAGGACACGAAAATATTGGTCACATTTACCTGCAACATTTTTGCTGCAGTGCAATCCGCCACATCCTGTAATGACCAGTACTGTACACCCATGCCACGATGGCTCTGGTCAAGAAAATCCGTCCGACGTAGGTGTATAGAAGCATAGCTTCTTCCAAGGTACTCTTCAATAAAAAAGGCTGCTTGGTTAAGCACCGGCTGGGTAGGCCGAAAAAGCAGCTGGCAATGGGTATTGAAGAATCGGCTTGGCCAGAAGAATTCTGAACCGGGATTTCCGATCTTGAAGAATGCGAAAAAGAGGTCGCCAATAGCGAGGACATGAACAGAAGCTGTTGCTGCTGCGATCTTAGAAGCCAGGTCATAGAAACTGCCGAACTCCTCCTTCACAACCTCCTTATTCGAAATCTTTATCTGTGGAGGAAGGTCGCCGCAGCTGTTCTCAAGCAGGGTACAACCGTATTGCACCTGCCCGCAGAGGAATTTATCAACTACTAATGTACTGCCAAGCCCAATCTTTTTTGACTTGAAAAGATCTGCTGTCGTCATGACTCTGCGAGGTGGCGGCTGGACTCCTTCCACCGAGCCTCCTCCCGAGCCTGCTCCCGGACCTGGCTGCCCAGGATTTGGTTCGTCACCGAAGCACTTGGACATGTGGCCAATGTCTAGGACATCAGAGTAGACTACCGGTTTTCCGGACGAGCGAGGGATGCAGAGGGGAACCTCCGGGATGAGCAGCGTGCGGTTCAGAAGAATCGCAGCCAAGACGGTGGTCTGAAGGCATAAAAGGCGGTTGGTGGTCTGGCCGTTGGTGCATGAAAGCATGAGAAACCGATCCGGTCGTGGGATCCATTCCGGTGCTACAGTAACAGGCTCGCCGGCTGTTGATGATGGGGACGGAGGGAGCTTGACGCCAATGGGAGCGGAACACGTGTCTTCAGCAGTAGGGGACCCGGATGACGTCAGCAAGCTCGGAGTTGTAGAGGCACCTGCGGTTCGTTGAATCACCGAATCTGACGACTCTGGATGCCCTGAAGGGCGTAGAAACCACGAAGGTTGAGGAGCGAATGCCGCGGTCGAGCAGAGCGAGTAGACCACGACGTACGCGATGCTGCAGAGAACGGCGGCGACGAGAACCGTCCCGACGTAGTAGTGGTGACGCTCCCACTGGGAGCCTGAGAGCGGCGGATTGTGAGTCAGGCTCTTGAGCCGCTGTTGAGTCGCCTTAAAGGCGACTAGGAGGTGGTGGCTCAAGTTGAGCTGGGAGAGCGGGTTTTGATTGGACCGTTGCTGCTGCTGCTGCTGCTCCGGATCATTTGGCGGTACTACGCTATCATCCGTAGTAGGAACATGGTGATGCGGCGCCGCCAGTACGCCATCATCATGGTGCAACGGGAGGAAGGAATGCGAAGACGTCATCGCCACAGCATAAGGACTGCGAATCTGAGATTCGCCCACAAACTGCAGCGTTTCAACGCAAAAGAAGACCTACTTTTTCAAACAAGTTGTTCACGACGTCAATGTTCTGCAGTAGCTCCCATCGACGACGAGCTTTCTCGTGTGTTAGTAACCGAACGAGCTTCAAAAGTTGGGAGAGAAGCGGAAACTAAGGATGTTGCTACAGCCAGCCAGGGGTACATTCAGGGGAGAGGTGGGGAAGAACCCTCGCCTTACCACATGAGCTGCACTCGCAAACACAGGAAAGCGGGCGGTGCAAAACACACCAGAGGTGCTGGGCATCACAGGCGGTCAAGAGTTGACTGAAAAAGAACCAATCTAGTTTCGAGGGCGTGTCGCGTATGTTTTCCCTCGATACCTTACCTAACCGTCTCAGATTACTAATTAGATCCTTCAGGCCTTGAAGGCACCGCACCTAACCACAAATAAACGTCCGCTTCAAACACGCCTTGAAGGACGGGTTTAGTGTCGAACTGGGGCTTCGTTCTGCAGCCGCCAGTGACAAGCTGACTACCATTTGGAAGCTTCTTTGATAAGTGGTTGAGTACTTATCAAGGCTTGGTGATAAGCACATACGGCTCGGAGAAATTCTAACCAAATTAGATTGTTCAGCGACGCCAGCAGACCGCCACCTAAATTTGGACAGGGTGTCACACAGGAAACTTTTCATAAACAGCCTTCACAGCGGGCTGGGCCTTTCGCTTAATGGCTGTGTCCTACAGGGACACGACGATTCCCTCCTGGGAAGTATCGCAAAAAAGGTTCGTGAGAACAAATTTTTGGTTTGGAGCCCTGGTCAGCCCCAAACTTTTCCCAAACCACCAGCGAACTGTCCGAACCAGGTGGACTCGGAGTGTCTGCAAAACGCAACATGAAACAGATGGAATCGAGCCTTCAAGAAGCACAGGGTACAACTTCCGCTCCAGCCAATCGGGGATGCCATCTCCTCCCCATTTCGGCACCACCTCCTTCGAGAAGTGCAACGGAGAGGCCTCGGAATCCAGATCGCTGGGCAAACAGGGAAATGAGCTCTCGAAATGGCAGTTCCAGAAGTGTCTAGCACTATGCACCGGCCATACATCTCTCAGTGGCCAGCACGTGAGCTGTTGAAGTGTTCGTGTGCAGGGGTGATACCCTAACCCTTTTTGTTCGTTTTTTTCCCAGTTTGTTTTCAGGCTGGATTGGGCAGCTCTGAATCTGGGGTCTCGAGGGCTTCCTACAGGGGGTCAGGTTTTCGCTACTCAGGCCCATTGTTTCGCCTCCTCCAGGCCAAAACTTTACTTGCGATAGCTGAAGGCTCGGGTGGTTACTACCTGGTACGAATATGCATCCAATCCATCTCCCGTTTCCGTCTCCTCTCTGTTTCCATGTGTCTGCACGACACGGCCAGCCAAATCGGCTGAACAGCTCGTGCAATGTTTAACCGACCTCCATATCGTTTCGGGCAGACCTTAGACTTTGATGCACGAAATAGTTGATAGAAATACACCCTGGTTGATGCACTAACTGAAGAACGATTTACCCAGACGAATCTGGCTGGTTGGGAAAAGTTAAATCATTCCATTTTCAAGCGCTGATGGGCAAGTTCGGACAGGTCAAAATGTTTCCCATTCCCTAAGCGAAACCCCACTATCATACCCCGTGCTCTTTCGCGTCTGAGATGTGCAATTTCAGATGTTCGACGAGCTCGGAAACAGCAAGAGCATCGTCCAATTTGATAAGACATCTTATCTGCCAGGTGCCTACAGAACGGAGCCTGGAATTGACCAGCACCAATTAACAATCGTCTACACTTAAATTCCACTCAACATTCCATCCTTTAGATGTATCTGTTTATTTACAGTCATCTTCGTCCGAACAGACGGGAAACGGACCAAACGATACAGGCCTAAATATCTGCAACAGTTACCACATCTGATACGGCGTGTCAGGAAGTAACATTCCTTATTGCGATAAACTACAGCGCGTACACCCGAAGACCTCGAACTCGCAGGTTCGGCCATTATTGTCGGCCCAAACCTCCCCGAGTCGCGTTCCGACACCCTCGACACCCAACCAAACCATTCACGTCCCGAGGTCCTCGCCCTAGCTCGTCCTAGCACGTCCATACCCTATTTTACCTAGTTTGCTCGTCACTTGTGGACACACATTATTTGCTGAGGTTCTATTTCCATTTTTGAGTGGCTGTTCCATTCTCACTCATAACACGGAGACCTCCAAACACGCAGACGTAACGTTCTCAGACCTAACACTGTTTCCCAAGGAACGCAAAACAAAAAACAATTGTCACCCCTTTTAGACTGGAAAATCCTAACCAGATTTCCCCTTGGCCCAAATCGCCCGTGAAAGTGAAGTGCTTGATTCGGGAGCACTCGACTGAAAACAAATAGTTTTGAAAAGGAATTAAAGTGTACGAGATTTGACATAAATTCGTGCCCGTGTAATTTGCTGGTCAGAGAGGCAAGGGCGAACTATCTCTCCAGCGGAGCCGCGAACAGTTCCACCACCCGCGAGAAATTGAGAATGCAGATGGTGTGCGTTACAAAACCGTTTTCTCACCAGGAGGCTGGAAGGAATCGGGGGCAGATCAGCCCCACATGCTAAAGGCAAAGTTCATTTGGCTGACTTTGGTAACATTCGTTTTTGGGCAAGCAAAAAATATAAATGTAATGATTCAGAAAATGTCAATGTACTAGAACGCGAGAATACAACGTCACTATTGCCATGAAAACACGAGGTTATATAGGGGTGGACGTAATAGGGCGATAACCTCGGGACGTGGTTAGGTTCGACAATGTGGCGACGCTGTCGGGCGCAACTCGAGAAAAGGTTGGGCCGAAAATGTAGGCCGAACGTGATGAGTCGAAGTGTTCGGGTGTACGCGGTAGCGGCCGACTCAGTAAGGAATGGAAATTCCTTACACTATCCCCCCCTCCTAAACGAGGCCGTGGGCATCGGGGACATGCCGACGCTGGTAATATGTCGTTAGAATCGGATGTGATTCTAGGTCAGCGAGGGGCACCCAACTGTCGTCTTCGGACGTGCGATCGCGCGAGCGGATGAGGAAATCAACCATCCGACGGTTAAGCTGCGTGGTGATGCGATGGCCGAGAATTTTCAAGGGCTCGGTCGTCGGTTCCTGCAGAGGCGTCAGTTGCGGTACTCCACGGTTGCGTGCCAAGTCCGACGAACTCGGGACGTAGGGTCGGAGAAGACTGACGTGAAAAGCCGGGTGATGGCGCCAATCAGCCGGTAGCCGAAGGTGTACAGTGACAGGTGTCACGAGGTTGGTCACTTGAAAAGGTCCGCAGAATCTTGGTCGGAGTTTGCTCGGGATCGGCAGCCGCAAATTGCGGGTGTCGAGGAGGACCAGATCGCCCATTTTGTAAATGACGTCGCGTCGATGTCGATCGGCTTGTCGGCTTGCAACTAGGTTAGCTTTCCGAATGGCCTCAGCTGCTTTTTCGCGAGTGGCGAGAATGTCTTCAGCAAATTTCTGGGACCGGGGCACTGGTGACTCGATGTTCGGTGTAGAGGGTACTACCGGGTCCTGTCCATAGTTGAGGAAAAATGGGGAGTGATTGGTTGTAGCTGAGGTCGCATTATTATACGCGAATTCGAGTAGCGGTAGAGATTTCTCCCATGTCGAGGGGTCAGTACAGGTAGTGCGAATGAGCTGCTCCATGGTTTGGTTAACGCGTTCGGTCTGCCCGTCGGTTTGTGGGTGGTAGGCGGATGAAAATTGGAGTTTGGTGCCGAACTGGTCCCACAGGTGGCGCCAGAAATTCGATGTGAATTTTGGGTCGCGGTCCGAAATGATGGCAGAGGGCAGTCCGTGCAGTCGGATGACGTTCGCGATGAACAGTTGCGCAGTTTGTTCGGCAGTGATTGTCTGTTGGCAGGCGATGAAGTGCGCCATTTTTGTGAGTCGGTCAACGACCACGAGGATGGCGTCGTTTCCGCTGGGGCCGGCCGGCAGTCCTGTCACGTAGTCCATCGTAACGTGTTGCCAGGGTCGCTCGGGTGGATCCAACGGCTGTAGTAGTCCGGCTGCTCGCTGATGCGACGATTTCATGATCTGGCAGGCAGTGCAGGAGGACACGTACTTGCGCACGTCATCGGCCATGTTTGGCCAGTAATAATTCCGCTGCAACATCTTCGTGGTTTTATCGACGCCGAAGTGTCCTGAGGTAGGGTTGTCGTGGGATTCCTGGATTAGGAGGGTACGAAGTAAATCGTAGCCGGGTACCCAAATGCGAGAAGTGCCATGCTTATAAAAATATGGCCCGGTGGCTGTGGTATGCTGTTGATGGATGGCTGAGCGGAAAAAGGGATCAATCTTGTAGCTGTGGGTGAATAGTCCCGTAAGTAATGGGTTGGTCTGGGCGATTAGTATCGCGGCGGTATGGACTGTAGGGCGGGTCAAGGCATCGGCGATATTATTGGCACCTCGTTTGTAGGTGATGGTGTAGTGGAAGTTGGACTCGAGGAAATCGAGCCATCGAATCTGTCGTGGGTTGAGATTCGGTTGGGCGCGCAGGTACTGTAAGGATTTGTGGTCCGTCCGCACCGTGACGTCAGCTCCGGTCAGGTAGCACCGCCAGGTCTTAAACGCGTGGACGATCGCCAGCATCTCCTTGTCGTGCACTGTATAGTTTTTCTCCGCGCCTTGCAGCTTCCGTGATTCGTAGGCGACCGGTTGTAACCCGTCGCCGAAATCCTGTAGTAGAACTGCACCGATGGCGATGTCGCTGGCGTCGGTGACGACTTCGTATGGACGGTTGGGATCGGAGATGCGAAGTACGGGCGGGGACGTGAGGGCGATTTTGAGTTGGTCGAATGCAGCTTGCTGCTTCTCACCCCACCAAAAACAATCGCGATCCTTCAATCGGTCCGTTAGTGGTGCAGATAACCCTGCCATATTGGGGATAAAGCGGCGGACGTAGTTGACAAAACCCAGAAAACTTTGGAGTTCCTTGAGGTTGGTCGGCGGCTTCCATTCCTGTATGGTCTTGATTTTCCTGGGGTCGATTTTCACGCCTTCGGTGGAGACGACGTGCCCCAAAAACTCCAACTCTTGCTTAAGGAAATCGCACTCAGACCCTTTCGTGATGAGCCGATTTTTGTGCAGCAGCGTGAAGACCGCATCAAGATCCTTTAAGTGCTGCTCCCTGCTGCGGCTGTAGATTAGGATGTCGTCGAGGTAGATAATTACGCATTTATCCAGGAGTTCGCGGAAAACACCGTTCATGGTCATCTGAAAAGTCGAGGGCGCGTTCGTGAGCCCAAAAGGCATCACCAAGTATTCGTAACTACCGTAGCGGGTTCGGAAGGCGGTCTTGTGGCAATCCTCGGTGGCGACGCGAATCTGGTGGTAACCTCCGCGCAGATCGATTTCCGAGAAGATTTTGGCTCCGCGAAGTTGGTCGAGTAGGTCGTCGGATCGCGGGATCGGGTAACAGGACTTGATGGTGATGCAGTTCAGTGCGCGGTAGTCGATGCACATACGGAATCCGCCATCTTTTTTCGGTGTGAACAGTATGGGGGCGGCGTATGGGGATGTGCTTGGGCGGATAAAACCTTTCGTCAGGAGGTAATCCAACTGCTGCTGTAATTCCTCGAGTTCCGGTTGGCTGAGCCGAAATTGTCGCTGTACTGTCGGTTGTGCGCCTGGTTCGAGTTCGATGCGGTGGTCTTCGGGTCGGCTTGGGGGAAGCCCGGCGGGTAGGTCGTCCGGGAAAATCTCGGGGTATCTTCGAATGAGTTCCGCTAAATCCGGAGGGACGGCTTCACACAGCTTCGTGATATCTTCCGCTGTTATCGACGACGTCACTTCGCGAAGATCGACGGCGTATGCTGCTGCTCCCGCTTTTATCGCACGCTTGAAGGTGACCGCGTGGACTTGGGTGCTTCGCCTGCGGGGTCCCATCCATTTCGGTAATTCGGTATAGTGCCCATCGATCTTGATGCTGCAGCTGCCCGTCGTCCAGTCGATTCTCGGGTTGTACTGTCGCAGCCAGTCCCGTCCCAGCAGCACGTCGCATCCGTCGAGTGTAGTCGCCAGCAGCCCCATCCGAAATTTTACGTGCTCGCCGCAGTGGAAACTGACGTGCTCCACCCGCTCCCGTATAGCCAACGGTGTACCGTCCACCAATCTTGCGTCGATTTCGGGTAGACACTTTAATAAAGGGATACCCATTTTCTTAGCCCTGTCGAGCTGTATGAGACAATGACTCGCGCCTCCATCCACGAATATTTTCAGCAACACCCCGTTGACTTTACCCTCCACCAACACAGGATGGTCAGCAGTTTCGTCCCCCTTATTCGTCCGGGTCCGGTCGATTGCTGCAATCGGGATCACGACCCGGTGGGGACTATGTGGTTCGGGCGAGGAAGCCTGCCCGTCAGTAAGGGGCCCGGTACTTACTGACGCGACCCATTTCCCGGTCGCTCCTCCGGCTTCTTCCCCATAGAATTCTGGATGGCTATGAACTCTTGGCAGTTGCGTTTGATGTGACCCGGTCGGCCACAGTGGTAGCATAGCCCCGTATTTCGCGGAGCAATTGCGTAAATGTCCACTGCGTCCATCCCTTTTATCGTAGTGCGCTGGTACTGTTCTCAAGGGCGACCTCCGTCGTAGAAGTTCGTCTTTGGCTTCGTGAGCGAATCAGCGGCTTCGGCGAGTTGGATGAAGTCTTGTAACCGTTTCGCAGGTCGTTGTAATTTTATCTGGTACTGTATTTCAGGCTTTAGCCCGCCCATGTACCTGTCGACCTTCTCCAACTCGTGCATGTAGCCACATCGATCCACCAACGTCAAGAATGACGCGGTGTAGTCGGACACAGGTCCCAGCTGCTTCCACATGCGTAAAGTTTCGCGCGCTTTGTCTGAGTCAGGAGCATGCTCAAACCGCTTGCGAAGCTCTGCGCACCACGTTGCCCACGTGCGAATGTGAGTTGCACCAAACAGCAAATCTGCCTCGTCTTCGTCGCCGAATTCTTCGGACCACTCATGCTGTCCTTCTGTGCGAGTTGCCGCTGAGTCGACGATGACCTTCCACCACTGTAGAGCGGCCCCTTGCAGCAGTGTCAACGCGTGGCTGATCCGCTTCTGGTCGTCTCGGATGCCCGCCGCGTTAAAGTAGATATTCATGGCGAATATCCACTGCCGCACCGTCACGCCTTTATTAGCTGGGTCGAAAGGAGCGGGTTGCTGATATCTCACGCCGCCACTTGTCGAGCGCGGGGCTGTCGCCGCTAGCCGTGCCAGCTCCACTGGTGTCGGTTGCTGCTCACCCGCCTCGCTTCGTGCATCGTCGCCCGGCTCCTCTGAACGCCTTTCCTGCGCTTGGCGAAGTCGTTGGTTTTCGTCACGGAGGTTGTTGACTACGCTTGTCAAATTATTCAACTGCTCCATTAATGCTTGCAGGTCTACTGTTTCCCGGGCAGATTTCGCAGCAGTCGAGGTTGTCTGTTTCTCAACCGCCGAGTCTACCGGGGCCATGGCGGTCAGGACGGGGCAGAAACTAGCGCACACGCTGTAGTTGTTGACGTAAAAATATTTACGATCAAAGGCAACTGCTGTGCAGCCGTGTTATGTTAAAATTATATAAGTTATAATTTATATAGGCTTGGTAGATTGTTACTGAACCTTTTCTGTAGAGGGTACAAACCCCTCCTTGTACTCCTCTCTCTTCCTAATCCAACCCTCTTTTCTTCTCCTCAACTTTCCTAGCACCTAAAACCTCTCGCCATTCTCATGGCTCCTCCTAGCTCCTAGCTAAACCTTGTGCCATTCTATGGCTTCCTAGCTAAGCTAGTCTTTTGACATGGTATCAGAGCAGTTCGTTCCGTGTGGGCCTGCTCCTCGCGTTTCCGCTGCGTGCTCGTTTCTCCCTCTATCTCGCGCTGCCATGGCGGCCGCGTCAAGCTGCTGTGGCCGCGTCGTCGTGCCGCGGCGCCGCCGTCGACGTCCATGGCGCCCGCGTCCAGCTGCTGTGGCCGCGCCGTGGTGCCGCAGCTCCGCCGTCGCGTCAAGATGCTGTCGCGACGTGACGGCGCCGTCACGCTGCCGCGGCGTCTACGCGACAGCGCGCAGTCGGCGTACCGGCGACGTCGTGCTGCCGTCGCAGCGTCGACGCCCCGCTGCGGCATCGACGCCGCTCCATGACGGCGTCGTCGGGCTGCAGCCGGCCGCGTGACGCTTGTGGCGCCGCTAGACCGGCCGCCCGCATGTCAGCCTGTGGCGCCCCCCCCCCCCCCCCCACCCCCCCTCCTTCCCCTGTGCCCTCTTCCATTCCGCAGACGACGGCTGACTCCCGCCGGCCGTCCCACCGTCGCGGGGCCAGGCCACGTCACCGAGAGGTGCGGGTGCCGCCGCCGCTGCCGCTGTTGTCGAAGCCGCCGCCGCCGCCGCTGTCGCCGCTTGCGTCGGGGCCACGCAGCCGCACGCCGCCGCCGCCGCCGCCGCTGTCGACACTGCCGCCGCTGCCGCCGTCGCCGCCGCAGCCCCTGCGGTCGACGTCGCCGCCTCACGCGCCGTGGGGTCGACCGACCTAGAGTCGCTGTCATTGTGGCTGGAATGGGGGTGCTAGGTTAGGGGGTGTGGGTGTGTGTGGGTGTGTGACTACCAAGCCTAGGGGGTGTGTTAAAATTATATAAGTTATAATTTATATAGGCTTGGTAGATTGTTACTGAACCTTTTCTGTAGAGGGTACAAACCCCTCCTTGTACTCCTCTCTCTTCCTAATCCAACCCTCTTTTCTTCTCCTCAACTTTCCTAGCACCTAAAACCTCTCGCCATTCTCATGGCTCCTCCTAGCTCCTAGCTAAACCTTGTGCCATTCTATGGCTTCCTAGCTAAGCTAGTCTTTTGACATGTTAATCCCCTCTGACCACCCTTAACTAACTAACTGGGAAAACGGAAGGTTCCGAGAAAGGTCGGGCTCTGATACCAGCTGTTATGATTCAGAAAATGTCAATGTACTAGAACGCGAGAATACAACGTCACTATTGCCATGAAAGCACGAGGTTATGTAGGGGTGGACGTAATAGGGCGATAACCTCCGGACCCGGACGTGGTTAGGTTCGACAATGTGGCGACGCTGTCGGGCGCGACTCGAGAAAAGGTTGGGCCGAAAATGTAGGCCGAACGTGACGAGTCGAAGTGTTCGGGTGTACGCGGTAGCGGCCGACTCAGTAAGGAATGGAAATTCCTTACAATAAATCCCAGAGGGAACCTGGTTGTCATTCGGGAGGCAACAGACGTAAACTCATTTAGGGCAGAAAGAGTAAACGATGGAATTGGACGTCACTAGAGTGAGCCGAAATGAATAAGGCTTCTAGCACAGTGTGAGACTGAGTCTCCGTGGTGATTCCCGAAGAAATCTTGGCCAGCCTCGATTTCACTCACAGCAGGACGGCTGATTTGGCAGGACAGCTGCCAAATCAGTCAACACAACACACCCAACTCCACGAGAATGAGCTTCGCCATTGGCTGGAGAAGATGCCAGCACACCGGTAGTCCCCCTCTTCTCGGGCTGATATGCGACAGCATGTTCGTACTGGAGTGGAGAGCATTCTAGGCCAAGGATTCGCCTTAGTTCTACCGATCTGTTCACTAATGCATGGAAAATTATGTACCGCTACGTACAGTGGGGTGCTCTATGATAGCCTAACACAATGCCACATACCGAATGCAAAACAATCAGTGCTGCCACTCAATACCCACAGCTTCACGAGGCCTACCCTGGCATATGTGTCCATCATGACAGGATGCAAGGCCCAGGCCCTCCCTAAGATACCCAATGTGGTGTGAGAAAGTTGACCGATGGGTAAACATCGTAACCACTGCATGAGCTGCCACTAGCTTATCCACCATAGCTCGCTGAGCTGGCTCCTGAACCGGCTCCTTTGGCAATCTGACAACCACAACTGACCATGGCTCCCCCCGTGCCCTTGCCAACGATGCTTGGGACATCAGCAGATCCGTGAACACACCCACCTCCTCATCAGAAGCATCTGAGGACACGAACAGATTTGTCACATTTACCTGCAGCATCTTCGCTGCAGTACACTCCGCCACAGCCTGTAACGACCAGTACTGTACATCGCTCAACCAATGGCTATGCCCAAGAAAATCCGTCCGACGGAGGTGTAGGGAAGCATAGTTCCTCCCAATATACTCCTGTATGAACCCTGCTGCTTGTTCAAGCACAGGCTGGGGAGGCAGGAAAAGCAGCCCACACTGGGTATTGAAGAATCGGCTCGGCCAGAAGAATTCTGAACCGGGGTCTCCGAGCTTGAAGAACGCGAAATAGAGGTCGCCAAGAGCAAGGACAGGAACGTTGGCCGTTGCAGCTGCAATCTTAGGAGCCAGGTCATAAATATTGCTGCTCTCCTCCCCCACAACCTCTTTCTTTGAAAGCTTTATTTCAGTGGGAACGTCGCCGCAGCTGCCATCAACCAGGGTGCAGCTGTACTGCACCTGACCACAGAGGAATTTATCGACTACTAATTCAGCTCCACCACCTCCGCCTCTTAGCTTCAACAGCTCCGAAGTCGTCATGACTCTACGAGGTGCCAAGACATGCTCCGCCGAGCCTCCCTTCGAACCCGCTTCCGAACCTGCTTCCGGACCTGGCTGCTCTGGCTTTGGCTCGTCGCCGAAGCACCGGGACAGGTAGCCAATGTCTAGGGTTTCGGAATAGACCACCGGTCGGCCAAGAGAGCGAGGGATGCAGAGGGGAACCTCCGGAATGAGCAGCGTGCGGTTGAGGAGTATCGCAGCCAAGATGGTGGTCTGAAGGCACAGGAGGCGATTCGTGCTCCCGCCGTTGGTGCATGACACCATAAGGTACCGCTTGGGTAGTGGGATCCACTCCGGTGCTACAGTAACAGGCTCGGGTGAGGTTGATGGAGACGGAGGGAGCTTGACGCCAATGGGAGGGGAACACGTGTCATCTGAGGGTCGTTGGTCATCCCGAACCTGTCTGTCCGGCTGGTCTTTGTCTGGGGTCTGGTTCGGAAGTGATGGGTCGGAGTCTGGTCCGGTTTCAGGCTTGGAAGGAGAGTCAGCAGGGGAGGAATTTAGTAGCCTCGGACTGACAATCTCCTGTAGTTGGACCGAGGCGCTTATATCGGGCCTAACGGAATCCGTTTGACGAGCCTTTAGAGCGACGCCGGCTCGATTGACCCCACTCTCGTCACTTGGCTGACGTGGACCGACCGAACCACCGACCGTCCGATCCGAAACGGGATCACCGGAGCGATGAACTTCTGACGTTCCCGAGGATTCCTCAGAGGAGAGCGGAACGGAGGCCGAAGCGGCGGAAGAAAGCGTTGGGATTGAAACCAGAGAGGAGACAGAAGGTGTCACTGAGTCGGACTCTGGAGGCAGACGCGATTGTCGCACTAACGGGGATGATGACTCCGGATTTTTAAAACCTCCCGATTCTTCTGGAAGGCCGCCTGGACGCGGCTGAGGTGCGAAATTCGTGAATGCGGACGAGCGGAGCGAATAGGCGGAGAGGTACGCTACGCTGCAGGTAACGGCTGCGACCAGGAAGAAGCTGTGAAGCTGTGAGATCGGATTGGGATTGGACCGTTGTTGCTGCTGCGGATGATGAGGTACGAGGAGACCATTGAGTCGAGACAAAAGGTAGAGGTGGATCTGGGAGAGCGGATTGGACCGCTGCTGCTGCTGCGGTCGATGCGGCACGCCATGGCGCAATGGGAGGAAGGACGACGAGGACCTCATAGCCACGGATTACCACCACCGATCGCCACACTACCACCCACTACCGCACGCTACCACAAATTACCGGAGCTACCAGGACGTCTCAGCATTGTCGCCCACTGAGAAAGCGCTTTCGCTTGCATTAACTTACTCCCAGAGTACACATGTATAAACCTGCGACTAAATTATCCTTATGGAGGCACGAAGTCTGATTCAAAGCTGATCGAAGCGATCGATAGGCAGGTCGCTTGACTGCTGCCTGCTACAACTATCCCTGGAGCATATGTCTACTACAAGCTTGGGTTGAGAGAGGTGATCGGAGGGCGTGATTTGGGCGTACGTTTCTCGCTCAATACCCTACCCAACCGTTTCTGATCGCTATTTGGACCTTCTAAATCCACTAGCGACTTAACCAACCGCAATCAAACGTACGTGCCACACACGCCCTTGGACCGGAGTGCCTCGGTTATACCGATAGGACTTCATGGCGGGATCTGCCTCGACCACTCATAAGCAGCAATCCTCTTATACGCATGTTGTGGAGCTTTTCGAGTCTCGGAAGTACAAACTCTTGAACGGAACACGGAGATTCAAAACCAGAGAATACATTTGTGCAGCATGGCCACTTAGGAGCACTTTCAGAGAGCAAATGAATCTTGAAAAATCAATGGTTTCTTTGCAAGTAAACGAGAGCCCACCCATCCTCCTCTTCAACAGAAATCACTGTTGCATAAGGAACATATGCTGTAACTACTGAGTCCACCTGCCATAGAAAGAGATGAATGAGAAATGATGGAAGAAGCAAATGACAACAAGAATGGAAAGAGAAAAACACCTCATTAACCGTAATCAATATCAATGAGACTGTACTTGAACAGCACAGATACACGACCACCTTCGTGTATCCGACCCCAAAATCAATTCAACCAGACCATACCTGATTGGTCAAGATGCCTGACAGCCCAAGCCTACCCCCAGGCTTGGTTCGGGACGAAATCCGCTCAGCCAATAGGATAAGAGGGTTCACGAGAATGTTGGCAGCCACGACATCAAACTGCACAAGTGGTGCCGATGAATCAAATGCCGTCAGCTCAGCGGGCAGGGCTGGCACCGTTACACCGTCAGCGAGCTTAGATTCAGTAGCATTGGTCTCTCTTGCTTCACTATTGTCAAACTCGTTTAGGGGGTCTGGGCCATCCGGATGTGTGAGAAGGACGGTGAATTGCGAAGGGGGGATGCTGTTGAGGGAGGCATTGTGCGCTGCTGCTGCCACTGACAGCTCGTCTATGTCCACGCCCACAGCTGCTGCTGCTCCCAACTGGGGTGATTTGTAAGGGATATGAGATCGGAAGGAAGGGAAGGGGAGGGTGGGGAAGAGGAAGCTAGAGATAGAGGGGGAGTGGAAGGAGAGGTTGTTAGGTAAGTGGTAGAGAAATTGACATCAAAAGACAGATAATTCAGGTCCAAGAGAATGGTTTTTCTGGGTACGATGAAAGTCTGATGTACATGGAATGGGAACGCAGTACATCACACTGTTACGTCCGCGTTCTGAGTCTGACGACTTTTGAGTCGACTTAGAAGTGACCCCAACAAGACTGACGTGCAAGACATGGGAAGAATGCAGTACCTTGATTCCTGCAATCGCAAGGATGCCAGACCCCGTGCCGTAGTCCAATAGCGTGCTGCCAGGTGTCACGACCGACCGCAGCCAGCGCAAGCAGAGGCGGGTGGTGGGGTGGTCCCCTGTACCGAAGGCGAGACCAGGCTCAAGAGTAATCGCCAGTGAATTGTTTTGTATAGGCTGAAAGAGGGGGGCGGGGGAGGAAGGAAGGGGGGGAGGGGGGGGGTGGGGGTGGGTTTGGGTGGGGGAGGAAAAGGAGAGGCAGGTGTCACGTCTGAGCGCAGGCAGCACAGGTAGATGCAGGTGGTGAGGTGGTCGCCCGTACCAAAGGCAAGGCTGGGCTCAAGCGTTATCGCCAGTGACCTGACTTGAACAGGCTGAAAGAGGACGGGGGTGGAGGGAGAAGCAGATGTCACAACGGACCGCAGGCAGCGCAAGCAGAGGCAGGTGGTGGGATGGGCGCCGACTTTTGAGTCGACTCAAAAGTCCGAGGCGAGTGATGGGGTGGTCGGCCATACCAAAGGCACGGCCGGGTGCTGAGGCGCCTAAAAAAAAGTCAGAGGCGAGTAGTGGGGTGGTCGGCCGTACCTAAGGCACGGCCGGGCTCAGGCGTTATCGTGAGTGACCTGACTTGAACAGGTTGAAAGTGAGAGGCGAGTGGTGGTCGGCCGTACCTAAGGCACGGCCGGGCTGTAGCGTTATGGTCGGTCAGTGGTTTGCCGTGTGAAGGCTGAGGGCGAAAGGGAGGACAACGAGGACAAAGAACAGTCAGAGGCGCATCGTGGGATGGTCACGTGTACCGATACACTAGTGGTGGCCGGTTTCAGGCACCGAAGGTAATGCCTGCTTGGGAATATCTAGGTGAGTGAGATACTCCCGACAAAAGAGAACAAACATTATCCCAACAACATGACAGTGCACCCCGAGACCATATGCCGACTGACTGGGCGGCCCGACTGTGCCTTATCCGGCAGTGTGGCCTACGAGGGCACGATCCAAAGGCGAGGCCTGCTTGAGAAAACCAGTTTTGAGAAAACCAGTTTTGAGAAAATCAGTTTTGAGAAAATCAGTATTGAGAAAATCAGTATTGAGAAAATCCGTTCTGAGAAAATCAGTTCTGGGAAAATCAGTTTTGAGAAAATCAGTTTTGAGAAACTCAGTTTTGAGAAAATCAGTTTTTAGAAAATCAGTTTTTAGAAAATCAGTTTTGAAAAAATCAGTTCTGAGAAAATCAGTTTTGAAAAAATCAATTTTGAGAAAATCAGTTTTGAGAGGTCTCACAACTTAACTACTTAACCAAAGGCGAGGCCTGGTTGAGAAAATCGAGGTGAGGTGAGATACTCCCGAGTGCAGACAAGAGAAACCTTTCAACTCGGGAGCAATGCGTGCTGTGAGACAACCCCAGCCGCATAGCAGGGCATCCCTAGAGCTTACCTCATCCGACAGTGTGGCCCACCAGGTACTTTTACACTTTCGCTCTTTTCTTGCTCAAGCTTCTCTCTTAGGCTTGGCACTGTGCCCTTCCAACCTAGAGTGACTGTTTCCAAAGCAGGGCATACCTAGAGCTTACCTCATCCGGCAGTGTGGCCCACGAGGGCACGATCCAAAGCCCCTCGTCCACGCGTATGGGATGAAACGAGTCCTGCAGGTCGGGCAGCCAGGTCGGGAAGCCAGGCCGGGCAGCCAGGTCGGGCAGCCAGGTCGGGCAGCCAGGTAGGGCAGCCAGGTAGGGCAGACAGGTCAGGCAAACAGGAAGGGCAGACAGGTCGGGCAGCCAGGTCGGGCAGAGAGGCAGGGCAGAGAGGCAGGGCAGACAGGTCAGGCAAACAGGCAGGGCAGACAGGTCGGGCAGACAGGTCGGGCAGCCAGGTGGAGAACCAACAGCCGTGGCAGGTGTTTCAATATCAAAAGTTGGTCGGGCAGCCAGGTCGGGCAGACAGGTCGAGCAGACAGGTAGGGCAGCCAGGTAGGGCGGACAGGCGGAGAAGCAACAGGCATGGAAGGTGTTTCAGTATAAAAATTTGTTGGCTTTTACCCACAAATATCCCCTCTTTCAACAGTTTTTGAGGCGCCTCAAAATTTGTTGGCTTTTACCCACCAATATCCCCTCTTTCAACAGTTTTTGAGGCGCCTCAAAATTTGTTGGCTTTTACCCACAAATATCCCCTCTTTCAACAGTTTTTGAGGCGCCTCAAAATTTGTTGGCTTTTACCCACCAATATCCCCTCTTTCAACAGTTTTTGAGGCGCCTCAAAATTTGTTGGCTTTTACCCACCAATATCCCCTCTTTCAACAGTTTTTGAGGCGCCTCAAAATTTGTTGGCTTTTACCCACCAATATCCCCTCTTTCAACAGTTTTTGAGGCGCCTCAAAATTTGTTGGCTTTTACCCACCAATATCCCCTCTTTCAACAGTTTTTGAGGCGCCTCAAAATTTGTTGGCTTTTACCCACCAATATCCCCTCTTTCAACAGTTTTTGAGGCGCCTCAAAATTTGTTGGCTTTTACCCACCAATATCCCCTCTTTCAACAGTTTTTGAGGCGCCTCAAAATTTGTTGGCTTTTACCCACCAATATCCCCTCTTTCAACAGTTTTTGAGGCGCCTCAAAATTTGTTGGCTTTTACCCACCAATATCCCCTCTTTCAACAGTTTTTGAGGCGCCTCAAAATTTGTTGGCTTTTACCCACCAATATCCCCTCTTTCAACAGTTTTTGAGGCGCCTCAAAATTTGTTGGCTTTTACCCACCAATATCCCCTCTTTCAACAGTTTTTGAGGCGCCTCAAAATTTGTTGGCTTTTACCCACCAATATCCCCTCTTTCAACAGTTTTTGAGGCGCCTCAAAATTTGTTGGCTTTTACCCACCAATATCCCCTCTTTCAACAGTTTTTGAGGCGCCTCAAAATTTGTTGGCTTTTACCCACCAATATCCCCTCTTTCAACAGTTTTTGAGGCGCCTCAAAATTTGTTGGCTTTTACCCACCAATATCCCCTCTTTCAACAGTTTTTGAGGCGCCTCAAAATTTGTTGGCTTTTACCCACCAATATCCCCTCTTTCAACAGTTTTTGAGGCGCCTCAAAATTTGTTGGCTTTTACCCACCAATATCCCCTCTTTCAACAGTTTTTGAGGCGCCTCAAAATTTGTTGGCTTTTACCCACCAATATCCCCTCTTTCAACAGTTTTTGAGGCGCCTCAAAATTTGTTGGCTTTTACCCACCAATATCCCCTCTTTCAACAGTTTTTGAGGCGCCTCAAAATTTGTTGGCTTTTACCCACCAATATCCCCTCTTTCAACAGTTTTTGAGGCGCCTCAAAATTTGTTGGCTTTTACCCACCAATATCCCCTCTTTCAACAGTTTTTGAGGCGCCTCAAAATTTGTTGGCTTTTACCCACCAATATCCCCTCTTTCAACAGTTTTTGAGGCGCCTCAAAATTTTGTTGGCTTTTACCCACCAATATCCCCTCTTTCAACAGTTTTTGAGGCGCCTCAAAATTTGTTGGCTTTTACCCACCAATATCCCCTCTTTCAACAGTTTTTGAGGCGCCTCAAAATTTGTTGGCTTTTACCCACCAATATCCCCTCTTTCAACAGTTGCCGGCGTAAGCCTCAGAGAAGCTGCAGCAGTGAGACCAGTCACTTCTCGTTGGTCTCAATGCAGCAGTGAGACCAGACACTTCTCGTTGGTCTCAATGCAGCAGTGAGACCAGACACTTCTCGTTGGTCTCAATGCAGCAGTGAGACCAGAGAACCAGAAACTGCCGGGCCAGGGACCAACAAGTACTCTTCAGTTCTCTGAGGCCCACAGAAACCGTGGAAGCCGTGGAAATTGATTACAAACTCTGCTGGTGATGATCCTCACCTGCCTGCACTTGCTGCACCCAGGTCCCAGGCTATTTTTGAGGTGCCTCAAAAGTACAGTCTTCAGTGCTCTGAGGCCCCTGGAAACTGATTACAGTCACCTGCCTGCACTAACTGTTTTTTTAGGAGACTGAAAAATCTTTCAATTATCTTCTGGGGCGCCTGGGAACCGATTTCTTCGATAGCAGTCTCTTGTGATTATCTGCACCTGCACTTGCTGCACCCAGTCCCTCTCCCCTACTTCCTCCGCTCCTAGCAGTGACAACCCCATTGCCAGTGTATTGCACTGTATTGTAATGTAATACGCCTCTACTGTCGCCCCCAAGACCCACCTGCACTTGCTGCACCCAGTCCCTCTCCACCACCTCCTCCACTCCCAGGAGTGACACCACCTCTTCTCCTCCCCCCCCCCCTCCTCTTCTCCTCCTGCCTCCCCATCTGCCTCCTCCCCCCACCCTTCCCCCCCCCACTGCACTGCAGCTGCCGCCCGCGCAACAGTGCTGCGGATGTCCCCCTCGCTCTGATTGGCTGGAAAGAACGCCCTGAGTCGAGTCTGGTGCAGTCAGTACGCGCAGGAGAATGAGGGGAAAGCGGGGGTTGAAAGGGGGGGAGGAGGGGGGAGGAGGGGGGAGGAGGGGTTGGGGGGTGGGATGGGAGCAGGTGGGGGTATGTTTTTTAGACGCCCTGAGTTGAGTCTGGTGCGGTCCGTACACGCAAGAGAATGAGGGGAAAGCGGGGGGAGGGGAGAGGAGAGGAGTGCGAAGGGAGAGGAGTGCAGGAGAGGAGTACAGGTAAGGAGTGCAGGAGAGGAGTACAGGTAAGGAGTGCAGGAGAGGAGCTACAACGGACGAACGAATGGACGGGCGGAGTAGCCAGACACAGGGAGGGAGAATGAAAGGATGCCAGGTGGGGACTACTGGAACGGATTTTTTTTGGGTTTCCTTCTCTGTGTGTGTGTGTGTGTGTGTGTGGGTGTGGGTGTGGGTGTGTGTGTGTGTGGGTGTGGGTGTGGGTGTGAGTGTGGGTGTGGGTGTGGGTGTGTGTGTGTGTGTGTGTGTGTGTGTGCGCGCGCACGCGCGCGTGTCCTGGGGTCTAGAGTGGTTGCACTTGGTCAGATTACAGTGAAAAAAAAGGCCCCTTACCTGACTTCCGAGGCGCCTAAAAAGTGGCCCTTCACCATCGGGGCATCGGGGCCTAAAAAGAGATTTCAAACCCTTTACCTGGTTCCAGAGGCTGCGGGGGCCACTTGGGTCCCAGGGAATGGGGCCGGACGAATAGATCTGCAGTGGGTGGTGTGAGTGGGTGGTGAGAGTGGGTGGTGTGAGTGGGTGGTGAGAGTGGGTGATGGGATCATGCGTAGGGATGTGTTGATATGCATTTGTAAGAGGACACGTGCGTGCATGTGCATGTGCCACAAGTGGGAAGGGATGGAAGAGAGAATGAGTGAGGAGTGCAATGACACAAGGGAGAGTGTGTTGGCACATTTTTATTTTTATTTTTTTTCCAGCAACTTGAGAAATTCAAGAAATACATGGGTGCAAACACGACTCGAAACCACACTGCTCGAACAGTCACACTTCCCCAGATAGCCGTAATCGCCATAACATTTTCAGCATGACACCGAATCTTCACAAAGCGATTCAAGAAAGTCTTTCAGGCACTCGGGAGGACTCCCCCCGCACATAATAATTAACCCATGCCTCCTGCCCATCCCCCTACCTCCTGTTCGGCCTCTGTGCCCGTATTGGCATCCTCTATTGAGCACGTACTGGCTCCTAGCGATAAGAGAGCGTCCATTAATGCGTCCTGGGTGTACATGGGGAGGAATGGGGTGTCAATAGGAGGGAATCTGGAATTGGGGGGTGGGGAGGGGGGGGGGGGGGGGGTGGGGGAATCTGGAGTACATGGATTGGCCAGGATGATTGACATCAAACGTGCGTCCTTTGTGCGTCTATTTTTTAGTCGACTAAAAAATAGACTCATTGCACACGGACTGTGCATGGATTGGCCAGGAGGATGGACATTAACCGTGCGTCCTTTGAGGAATCATAAACGCTCCTGAAATGTGATCAACTGGAAAGGCAAGTCGAAAGGGGCGCAGGGCTAAGGGCTCGGGGTTTAAGGGTTCAGGGTTCAGGGTGCAAGGTTGAAAGTTCAGGGCTTAAGTTCCAGGGGTTAAGACTTCAGGATCGTTCCAGGGTTTCAGTTCTCAAGAACACGGCAGATCACTTACAGCCACGTGTCCAGGGCATGTCAGGATGGCAGTACGCATGACGCACACGGACAAGGGATCAGATGGTGACGTGTCCAATGGTGAGGTGCTGGAAGGTGAAGGGTTGGGCGGCAAAGACTCAGAATCGGAAGAGACTGAAGTTGCACCAGCTTTTTGTCCGCTACCCTCTTGCCCTTCTCCGCTGCATGCTCTGGGAATCCGTGGTAACTTCTTAGCTACATTCGCTGGGTAGTTTTGCCGGCTGATGCTGCTGACCGATCGTTGCCAGGAAGATGGATTTAAGCTAAGGCGAGAGGAACCAGAAGTGGGCATTCGAGAGGGGCCAAAAGGCGGTAATGGCGGCTGCGGGTTGCTGCCGTTGGACGAGACATTAGTGAGATGGTGAGGCTTGATCACGTCCGTTGATGGTAACGACGTTACACGGGTACACAACGTGCCGCCCATCGTAATGAAATACGACGGCATGGCTTTTAAGCTCCTGCGCTGACAAATACTCTTAGCAGTTTCTCCCGACTGCCGGTTAGGGTGGAAGTCTACGAGGGCAGTCGCGTGGATCGGCGGTGCGTTGGCACACGACGCTAGGTACAGCAGTGCGAACGAGGATGCGAGGTACGGCCGAGATGCGAGGGATGCGGCAACGCTTCGGAATGAGGGTAATGCCGGGCAGGAACGGAGTCCCATCAGCTAAGCCTGCAAGAGTTTCACTTTCTGCGGCGTTCTCTCCTGCTACAACTCGCAGTTTCGGCGCGACGAGGTGAGGTGCTAGCCGTGCTAGAAGTGGAGGAAATGTGGTGTCTGTTGTCTCTTGATCTGGCCACTCGCAGTTAGGTCACTTTCAGTTTGGTCACTCTCGTTTTACGAGTGTTTCGATATGCGATTTACCAGAGGATGTTAAGATTTCGGCAGACATACAAACAAATCATACTACACTGGAAATTACCTGCAATGGTGAGTTGTGGCCTAGAGTTGGCATAGATAGTGAATACAAGAAACCACAAACAACTCTTGAAATTGGACGAATAATCTGAATACTCAGAGCTCTAATAGTAGTCGACAACGCTTGACGAAGAATCTAAGACGACGAATCTGTATTTATGCATCTCGCACATGATGGAAGGTATTGATAGGATGCCACAGAGAGCAGTTGCCGTGGGTTAAACAAAGATGGCTGTATGTAAGAGGCAATCGGCCGGGTGTCAGAACGTGAGGCTGTACTTGCGAATCTCGTACATTATGGACGGTATGGAGACCACGTCCTTCATTAACGAGGCTCCTCCTTCCACTCGCTATAGTCACAACCGCCACATAAAAAAGAAGTGGACACACAAAGAATAACATACACACACAACGCAGTAACAAACATGCGTGAGACATGAGCATAGATGTGAGAACCACACGTACCAAGGCATGGGAAACGACGAGCAGGATCAACAGGCAAGGCAACAGGAGCGGCATTCAAGAATGTGGTCGGACGCTACATCATCAAGTCACCTTCAGATGCACCAAGAGGTAGCGGTGAGGTGCGCATAACAGAGGAGCAGTTCAGTGGAAGGAGTAGTCTGTGCTTTACAGCAGCAGCTTAACTGTTCAAGACACACCTTGAGGCAGTCGGAAAGGCGGGTGTAGTAGAGCAGTAGTTGCGTGAGGGCAGCTCTGAGGATGTCCATTCCACACACGAAGTTGCTGAAGTTGGTGATGATGTCCTTGTGGATCAGATCGATGGTGGCCTGCATGTGGCACATGGGGATGTGGGATGGGGGGATGAGAGCTAGGTAGTTGCTGAAGTTGGTGATGATGTCCTTGTGGATCAGATCGATGGTGGCCTGAATGAGGGATGGAGGGGGAGTGGCACGGGGTGTGTGGCACGAGGTGTGAGGCATGTGGCATGTGGCACGTGGGCTTGATCAAGGGAGACAATATCGATTTGTCAAACGAAGTTGCTGAACCTGGGGATGATGTCCTTGTGGATCAGATCGATGGTGGCATGAATGGGGGATGTGGGGATGCGAGCTAGGTAGTTGCTGAAGTTGGTGATGATGTCCTGGTGGATCAGATCAATGGTGGCCGGTGGCACGTGGAGGAGGGGTCGCAGTGGCGTATGGTGTGAGGCATGTGGCATGATCAAGGGAGGTGATATCAATTCCACACACAAAGTTGCTGGAGCTGGTGATGATGATGTCCTTGTGAATCAGATCTACGGTGAATCAGATCTACAGTGAATCAGATCTATGGTGGGGGGGAAGTAGAATGGGAGCATGAGAGCTTGGTAGTGGCCGAAGCTGGTGATAATGCCGTAGTGGATCAGATCGATGGGGGCCTGCATGTGGGATGTGAAAGATGGGGGAATGGCAGCTTCCTTGTCCGTCAGGCCCATGGCATTGCATCGATGCAGGCCGACAACAGCAATGCCGCACACAAAGCTGCTGAAGTTGGCGATGATGCCTTGTGGATCAGATCGATGGTGGCCTGAGCGAGTCGGATGAGGGAGGCGGGTGGGATGACATGTGGCATGGGATGGTTGGCATGTGGCATGTACCATGTGCCATGTGGCTTGTGGCATGTGACATGTGGCATGTGGGGCTTTGATGGTGCTGAAGTTGTTGACGATATCCTAGTGGATCAGATCGATGGTGGGCTGAGGCACGTGGGAATATAAAGAAACTAAAAAAACGACAGTGGAAGGAATAACGCCCTTCTGCATACCAGCTCTGCAGTGCGATGGCTCCTGCTTTCTTCCTCCCATCTCCTTTCCCTCACCTTCCATCTGACAGCAAAGGCCTTGAGAGATGCAGCTGTTTCTTAGGCGCCTAAAAAATGGACCCCCTTGATATGTGGCTCCACCTCCTTCGCTCCCACGGGTGCAGCATCCACCTTGCACCCCGCTGTGCTGCCAGAGCTATGCCACTTCACCTCAGGTATCAAGAGATTCCATCCCAGCTCCCCACCTTCCATTGGACAGCAGAGTCCTTGAGATGCGGCTCTGTCTCCTTAGCTGCCATGGGAGCAGCATCCTGCTGCTCTGCCAGAGCTGCTCCATTGAGAAGCATCCACCTTTTGGGTTGACACACGAGAATCCTCCCCCCTCCTCTCACCTTCCATTGGTTGTGCAGGGCGTTTTTGAAAATTCTCAACAACGCCCTGCAAAATAGTAAACACCCTTTGAGAATTCTAATAAACGCCCTTTGAGAATTCTTAAAAACGCCCTTTTGGGTTGACACACGAGAATCCTCCCCCTCCTCTCACCTTCCATCGGACTGCGAAGTCCTTGAGATGAGGCTCCACCTCCTTGGCTGCGATGGGTGCAGCATCCACCTTGCATCTAGCTGTGCTGCGAGTGCAATCCCACTTCACCTCAGCGATTCCTCACCTTCCATCTGACAGCAAAGTCCTTGAGGTGAGGCTCCGACTCCTTGGCTGTGATGGGAGGGAGCAGCATCCACCTTCTAAGTCAACTCAAGGGAATCCCCATCTCAACCATCTACCCTCCCCTAATTCTCCAGCCTCACCTTCCATCGGACAGCGAAGTCCTTGAGGTGAGGCTCCACCTCTTTAGCTGTGATGGGTGCAGCGACCACCTTGTGCCCCCCTGTGCTGCCACTGCTGCTGCGAGCTGCCACTGCGTCTGCTGTCTCATCGCCAGTGCCTGTAGGGAGGGGTGCGTTGGAGGGAAGGAGGGGAGAGGGGGAGGGGAGGGGGAGGAGGGAGGGAAGGGGAGGAGGGAGGGGAAGGGGAGGAGGGAGGGGGGAGGAGTTGAAGTGGGAGCAGCATCCACCTTGTGGCACGCTGTGCTGCCAGTGCTGCTGCGAGCTGCCACTGCGTCTGCTGTCTCATCGCCAGTGCCAGTAGGGAGGGGTGTGTGGGGGGGAAGTGGGGTGGGGGAGAGGGGTTGTGTGTGTTGGGGGGGGTTGGGGCGTAGTAGGGGCAGTATCCACCTCGCGCCCTGCTGTGCTGCCAGTGCTGCTGCGTCCTGCCACTGCGTCTGCTGTCTCACCGCCCTGCCAGTGCCCGCACTGGAGGGTTGTGTTGGGGGGCTAGGGGAGAAGAGTGTGTGTGTGTGTGTGCGGTGGGGGGTGCGGGGTGGTAGAAGGAGCAGCATCCACCTTGCGTCCTGCTGTGCTGCCACTGCGTCTGCTGTCTCATCGCCAGTGCCTGAATGGGAGGGGTGTGTTGGAGGGCGAGGGGAGAGGAGAGTGTGTGTGTGTGTGGGGGGGTTGGGGTGGTAGTAGGAGCAGCGTCCATCTTGCGCCACGCTGTGCTGCTGCGTGCTGCCACTGCACCTGCTGTTTTGCCGCCTGTGCCTAAACGAGTGTCTGTGTGGGGCCAAAGGGGGGGGGGTGGGGGAGGGAGGTGCAACGGAAACAGCTTCCACCGTACGCCCCGCTGTGCTGCCAGTGCCACAAACATGGTAGTGTATGGCTCACAGAGCACGCACGCGTGAGCTAGCGCCCACGAAACTCAAGGGAGAACACGCACAAGTACACACAAATATGTGTTCCCCCCCCCCCCCCCCCCCCCCCCCCCCCCCCCCCCGGACACACACACCACACGAACACACACACCACATACACACCCATAGTGCAACCCACTTCTCTTCTTGACAAAGTCCACAAGTCCTTGTGAGAGATTTTTAGGAATTCCTGAAGTCTACTATGGATTATTTTTTTAAATCCTGAGAACTTTTAAAATCCCAAAAATATCCCACCTGTTCTCTTCTTGACAAAGTCCACAAGTCCCCTGAAGTACTCGTGTAGCTCCTCCTCCTGCCACGTGGAAGGGGGAGCAGGTCGTGACACGTGGAGAGAAGAGGGCAGGCCGTAACATGTGATCACGACACGTGGAGAGAGGAGGGCAGGCCGTAACGTGTGATCATGACACGAGGAGGTCGTAACCTTGATGACTATTGAATCGACTCAAAAGCCACCTCATGACAATGTCACAACGTCACAAGGTCACATCACACGTTTTCTTCGAGGAGGAAAGCAGGCTCTCGTTTCACAACGCACATCTGGAAGGCAAGCACCCCACTGGAAGGCGGGCGTACCACGAAGATGGTTGAGAACGAGCTCAGCAGCTCTGCAAAGTGGCGCTGAGTCCGGCCCTCCTCCACCCCCGCCTCCTGAACGCAGCAGCACGGGCAGAAAAAGGGAGACGGCAGCGCCACAGGGAGACATGAACACGCGAGAGGGGACAGCAGGAGCGAAAAGCAGGGTGAGTGAGTCTATGGGAAAACAAGAGTGGGTCACTCACGACGAGCACATGAGCTGAGAGACGGTGATTCAATCAATCAAGGGCTGTGGGGAGAGAAACAGGATAACTGAATGGAGCAAAGGCCAGACCTTGAGCACAGCCAGAATGAGGTCATAGTTGTTGATGAGAATGAGAAACACTGTCCGCTGCTTGGGCTTCAGAAACAGCCTGGAAATCTCCACCAGCAGGTGATCCACAGCGCTCCTGAGCTGAGCCTCTCCAAACCCAGATTACAAGTGAGGTACATAGAGGTACATACCTTGAGCACAGCCAGAATGAGGTCGTAGTTGTTGATCAGAAACACTGTGCGCTGCTTGGGCTTCGGAAACAGCCTTGAGATCTCCACCAGCAGGTGGTCCACGGCACTCCGCAGCCGGTCCAGGTTGAGCTCGAGCTGGCCGTCGCCGTGGGCCGTGTTGAGCGTCATGAGCGACGCTGCAAACTCCGCGTACCGCCGCGCCACGTAGTGCGGGTGCACGTCCTGCTCCCACAGCGCGCGCGGGTTCGCCTGGCGTAGACTGCCTAGATGAAGGTCAAACACGAGCTTGAACCGCGGCCAGAGGAGCAGGTTCACCTGGGAGATAAGGGGGGGAGGGGGAGGCACACACAAGACAAGGGGAGCGTGGCCGGCAAGGGAGGATGGGAGAGATGCATCTCTCTCCCATCTGGCTGGAAGAACCTGCATAGGGGAAACCAGGGTTTTGCAGCCAGACAGGCAGGCCCTTGTCAAAAAAGGGCGGGAGAGCAAAGGGAGGAAGCGGAGCAGGTGCTTCAGCCATGGGAGCTGGGCGAGCTGCAGCTAGGAAGACACTTTTAAAAAGGAGGGGTGTGTTTTTGAGACGCCTCAAAACAAACCTTCTATCACGTGCCTTCAGCCATGTGAGCTGGGCGGGCTGGAGCTAGGGAGAAACTTTTAAAAGGAAGGGGGCGGAGCAGGTGCACCGAATCTCAAGTCACTAAACCTGGCCTTACTTAAGCCTACCTCGGTTGAACTCACCTCACTTCACAGTGGAGATCTGCTTTTGAACTCACCTCACTTTTGATTATACAAAATGCAATGTGAAAAGTGAGACTTTCAACCAAAGCAAAGGGATAACCTCACCTTGTCAAAGTACTGATCCAAGCAGTTGACCTTCCTTGCTTTCATGATGTCCTGAAAGTGGTAAAAGTGCAGAAAAGGGCAGAAAAGGGGCGGAAAGGGGGAGAAAAGGGGCGGACGAGGGAGAAAAGGGGCGGACGAGGGAGAAAGGGCGGACGAGGGGAGAAAAGGGGCGGACGAGGGAGAAAAGGGCGGACGAGGGGAGAAAAGGGGCGGACGAGGGGAGAAAAGGCGGACGAGGGAAAAGGGGCGGACGAGGGAAAAGGGCGGACGAGGGGAGAAAAGGGCGGACGAGGGGAGAAAGGGCGGAGAGGGGAGAAAAGGGCGGACGAGGGGAGAGAAGGGGACGAAATTGAAGGAAAGGAGTTTAACAACACAATGGCACAAACACAAACCCATTGGGGAGGAGTGGATTAGGTCAGAAATTCAGTTCTTCCCAGGCGAATCCAATTTTGAGGCGCCTCAACAAGGGTGGACTACGTCAATACATCAGCTCTTCCCAGGCGAATCCAATTTTGAGGCGCCTCAACAAGGGTGGACTAGGTCAATACATCAGCTCTTCCCTGGCGAATCCAATTTTGAGGCGCCTCAACAAGGGTGGACTAGGTCAATACATCAGCTCTTCCCTGGCGAATCCAATTTTGAGGCGCCTCAACAAGGGTGGACTAGGTCAATACATCAGCTCTTCCCAGGCGAATCCAATTTTGAGGCGCTTCAACAAGGGTGGACTAGGTCAATACATCAGCTCTTCCCTGGCGAATCCTCACCTGGAATTGCCTCGTTTTTGAGGCGCCTCTGGCAAAACAGTCTCCTCACGCACCTGGAATTGCCTCGTCATCCTGATCATCAGCAGCAGCCCAATGGCGTCGTAGCAGTTGGGCAGCACAGCTGCGAAGTGCTCATCGATCACAGCAAAGGGACCTGGGGGAGGAAAAGGGGTATCGAGTGGAAGAGAGGCAAGGAGGGAGGGGCGCTCTGCATCTAGGGTCGGATCAAACCATAGCAATTGGGCAGCACGACTGCAAAATGCTCATCGATGACAGCAAAGGGACCTGGGGGAGGGGGATGAATGAGGGGAAGAGGGGCAAGGAGGGCGATACTCATGTAGAGCTAGCTCTTATCAAGGTAGTTAGGATGCGCAGCCATCACATGGTCAGGGACTTTCTTGTGACCAGGTGACTTTTGAGTCGACTCAAAAATAATTATCGAGGTGACTTTTGAGTCGACTCAAAAACAATTATCGAGGTGACTTTTGAGTCGATTCAAAAATAATTATTGAGGTAGTTAGGATGCACAGCCATCACATGATGGATGGGGATGCATCACATGAAAGTCAGGGACTTTCTTGTGACCACGGACATGCAGGATGGGGATTTCAATGAGAAGCTGACTGACGAGCTCTGCTCCAGGCAGTTAGGACGCACGCCCATCAATCAAACAATCAGGGACTTGCTGGTATTATCGAAGGACGTGCAGGATGGAGATTGCAATGAGAAGCTGACCTGCAAAGACTGCATGGAAGGTCGAGTCGTCCCCAAAGAATTCCTTGCAGAAAAGAAACCTGATGGGTGGCGATTGGAGAGAGGGAGACGAATAGCAGGTGGGTGGGTGGGAGACATACAGAGGTGGTGAGCGTTAGAGAGTGTATGACTGAGTGTTAGAGAGAAGAGAGAAGAAGTCACATAAAGGCAGCCTAAACCTAGAGGGGTCAATGTACCTCACCTCACATACAACGGTCTTTATGAATAGACGAGCCTGTGCACCTCACATACAACGGTCTTTATCAATAGACGAGCCTGTGCACCTCACATACAACGGTCTTTATCAATAGACGAGCCTGTGCACCTCACATACAACGGTCTTTATCAATAGACGAGCCTGCACACCTCACATACAACGGTCTTTATCAATAGACGAGCCAGTGCACCTCACATACAACGGTCTTTATGAATAGACGAGCCTGCGCACCTCACGACTGGGCGAGGCTTACTCTGACGTGGCCGTGTCGATGAGCAGCTTGTGCAGTGACCGGAACAGCACCTCGTAGGGGTGCTTGTTCTTGTCCGCCTCTGCAATGTGTGGGATGATGGCCGGCTCCTCCACATCACTTAGCACCTGGTGAGAGGGATAGAGAGGGATGGAGAGGGATAGAGGGGGATAGAGAGGTTTTATGCTGTTTGCCGACACCTGATCTGTGGGATGATAGCCGGCTCCTCCACACTTAGAACATGGTGAGAGGGATAGAGAGGGATAGAGAGGGTTAGAGAGGGATCGAGAGGGTTCTTGAGGTCCCCTCCCTGCACTGCCCAAGATGGTCTGCGCGAGCTTGTTGCTATCCGCCCCTCCCCCCTAAAACCCAGCATGAGGGCGGGATTCTGGCATCAACAAAACCCAACATGCGGTTTAGTGGCATCAACAAGTCCAGACCCTTAAGCACCTGGTCTCAGCTGCCCAAAAGAAAAAACTGTTAACCGGTTCTTGAGGTCCCGCTCAGCGCGACCAAAGACGGTCTGCGCAAGCTTGTTGCTGCTGTCATCCACTCCTATGAAGTCAAATCCAAGCCCAATAGCACCTGGTCTCTGCTGCCTAATGAGAAGACTGCTGATCGGTTCTTGAGGTCCCTTCCCGCGCGACCAAAGATGGTCTGTGCGAGCTTGTTGCTATCGTCCACTCCAATCAGGTCTGTGCGCGACACGATGTCAAGCTGAAGCTTCTCCAAGGAGGAGATGTAGGTGCGCAGATGGAGAGACAAGACCTGTTGGCAAGGGGGAGAGGTGGGGAGGAGAGGGTACGTTGGAGAGGAGCAGGATGAGTGTGTCTGGAACTCCTTGCTGTATTCCACTCCGATCAGGTCCGTGCGCAAGACAATGTCGAGCTGCAGCTTCGCCGCCAGGGAGGAGACGTAGGTGCGCAGATGAAGAGACAAGACCTGGTGGGGGTGGGGGAGGGGGGGGGGGGAGAGGGAGGTGGGGAGGAGAGGAGCAGGGTGGGTGTTTTGAGAGCTTGTTGCTGTCGTCCACTCCGATCAGGTCTGTGCGCAAGACAATGTCGAGCTGCAGCTTCTCCAGGGAGGAGATGTAGGTGCACAGATGAAGCGACAGCACCTGTGGCAAGGGGGGGGGGGAGAGGGGGGGGGGAGGGGCCGAGCGAGTGCGGCAGGAGGGGGAGTGGGGAGAGCAAAATGGGAATCCGAGACTCAATGCGTCACATCCAAAGGCTTCTTCGCAGTGATGATATGTACAATGATATGTATGTACGATGATACGTATGTACGATGACATGCAGTTGGATGTGAGGGAACACGGAGAAGCAACCACATCCCCTTTTCGCCAAGGCCAAGTCATGCAACTACGTGCCCAGACCTTGCTATGATGCAAACGCCAAGCATGCACCACAATCCCTACCTTGCTCATTATGTCAATGTACGCGTTATTGACTTCAGTGTACACCACCCGCCCATGCTCCTTTAAAAAAACTGCAAGGTACCTGAAGAGAGCCAGGGGAGGAAGGAATAATGACGCGTGGAAGTCAGAAAAAGAGGGGGGGGGGGAAGGGAAGGTAACCAGCAAGGCATTAATCAACCAGTCATTGCCACAAAGGAGTCATTTTTGAGAATTCTGAAAAATGACGGGAGTAAGTCAGAAAAAGAGGGGAGGAAAGGAAAGGGAAGGGTAACCAGCAAGGCATTAATCAACCAGTCATTGCCAAAAACTTTAACCAAGGCTTTGCAATGTATTTCGTGCACAATGCCCTTCAGCAATAAGAAAGTATGGTATACCAAACACACACATCGTGTTCCCTTGTGTAAGGAAAAAGCGCACTCACTTATATTTGAGAAGCACGTTTTGCTGCAGAATGTGGATGTTGGTCTTGGGCTTTCGGAGGGCGTAGATCTTCTGCATCAGATACTCCCTCCCCTGCAATCAGACAAAAGCAGTGCATCAGCAGCAGCATGTACACACGCCAGAGAGTCTGTCCAGCTCTGGCTGCACATCCTGCATGGCAGTGGACGACCAAGCAGAAGGCTCCTCACAGCACCCACCCAAACCCTACCTTGATAACAGCCTTCACTCGGAGCCTGTCCAGCTCTGGCTGCACATCCCGCATGGCAGTGGACGACCGGGCACTCGGCTCCTCTGCCACAAAGTGCAGCTTGCGGTTCAGCGCCTGCAGGGCGCGGATGTACCCCTCGCCCACCTCCCCATCCACCACTGTGTCTATCAGATCCGGACTCACTGCCATCTCCTCCACAAACCGTCCCAGACGCCCCTCTGCTGCCTGTGGGGGCAATGGAGTGGAGGTGGGAGGGGAGGGGAAAGACATATAGAGGATGGGGGATGCCTACTGGGCGTGGAGAGGATGTACCCCTCGCCCACCTCCCCATCCACCACCGTATCAATCAAGTCTGGCGACACTGCCATTTCCTCCACAAACCGTCCCATACGACCCTCTGCTGCCTGTGGGGTGGTGGGAGGTAGGCGGGGAAGGAGAAAAATAAAGTGTATTGAGACGCCTGCAGGGCGCTGATGTACCCCTCGCCCACCTCCCCATCCACCACCGTATCAATCAGGTCTGGTGACACTGCCATTTCCTCCACAAACCGTCCCAAGCGACCCTCCGGTGCCTGTAGGGTGGCGGGAGGTAGGGAGAAGAGGTAGGGAGAGTGTATCAAGAAGCCTGCAGAGCGCGCACGTATGTACCCCTCCCTCGTCCACCTCCATCCACTTTTTGAGGCGCCTCAAAAAGCACGTATGTACCCCTCCCTCGTCCACCTTGTGTAATGAGTCGATCTTTGAGTCGACTCAAAGATCGACTCATTACACACGGAGCGCGCATGTATGTACCCCCCTCCCTCGTCCACCTCCATCCACCACTGTATCACTCAGGTCTGGCGACACTGCCACCTCTTCGCCAAACCGACCCAATGGGCCTTCTGCTGTCTGTCCAATCAAAGGAAGAGAGGGGGGGGGAGGATAGAGAATTATTTAAGTCGCCTGCAGGGCTCGGATGTACCCCTCGCGCATCTCCCCATCCACCACTGTATCAATCAGGTCTGGTGACACTGCCATCGCCTCCACAAACCTTCCCAATCGCCCATCCGCTGCCTGTCAGATGACGGGAAGTGCGGAATGAAGAGAAGGACAGAGGAGAGAGAGAGAGTTTCAAGGCGCCTGCAGCGCTCGGATGTACCCCTCGCCCACCTCCCCATCCACCACTGTATCAATCAGGTCTGGCGACACTGCCATCTCTTCGACGAACCGTCCCAGCCAACCTTCTGCTGCATGTCCAATGAAAGGACGAGGAGGGGGGGGAATAGAGAGTGTTTCAAGTCGCCTGCAGGGCGCGGATGTACCCCTCACCCTCCTCCCCATCCACCACTGTATCAATCAGGTCTGGCGACACTGCCATCTCTTCGACGAACCGTCTCAGGCGACCCTCTGCTGCCTGTGGAAGGGAGGTGGGGGGGAAAAGAGAGAGGTTCAAGATGCCTACCGCACGCGGATGTACCCCTCGCCCACCACCCCATCCACCACTGTATCAATCAGGTCTGGCGACACTGCCATCTCTTCGACGAACCGTCCCAGCTGGCCTCCTGCTACCTGTGGGGGCAATGGAATGGAGGGGAGGTGAGGTGGGAATGAGGGAATACAGATATAGACTGAGTCCACTCCACACACAAACAACCATGTAGGAGCACAACTCCAAGCCTTAAAAAAAAAGCATTTCGTTTACAGGTACTGGTACCCCGTCTGTCTTTTTAGAATTCTTGAAAAGCAGCATTCCGTTTCACAGGTACCAGCACTTACCCGTCTGTTCCGGAGCCGCTGTGCCATTCCCATGGAGCGCTCTTGAAGGTCCTTGATCTCCGCACTCACCGCCCCTAGGTCCGCCTGGAGGGATGGGAGGAGGGAAGAGGTGGAGGAAAAAGAAGAGGGACAGACGGGGAGAGGGAATGAGCCGCTGTGCCATCCCCATCGACCCCCATCGCTCCTGAAGGTCCTTGATCTCTGCACTCACTGCTCCTAGATCAGCCTGGAGTGGTTGCAGGAGGAGGCAGGTAGAGAGTTAGAGAGAGCCAGTGTGAGGAGAGAGAGAAATGCCAAGTAAGATGAACGAACAAGGCATGTTTTACAGGGGTGAGAAGGAGAAACAATGGGCGCCATGCCATGCATGCATCACCAGCATGAGGGGGACACGCAAAGGGTCACGCTTGCATGCTTGCTTTTGAGTCGACTCAAAAGGGGACACGCAAAAGGGTCACGCTTGTTATTCATGCCTGGAAGCCCCCCCAGCAGTGCCTCCATGTGTGTAAGAAAGAAACCAGTCCTTCACCCGAGAGATCAGATCAACCCCCCTATCCATATCCCTTGTTCTTCACACCTGGAAACGAGGGTGACTTTTGAGTCGACTCAAAAAGTCACCTCTTTTGAGTCGACTCAAAAGTCCCCCAGCAGTGCCTCTATGTGAGTAAGCAAGAAACCAGTCCTTCACCTGAGAGATCAGATCAACCCCCCCTATCCATATCCCTTGTTCTTCACACCTGGAAGCCGCCCAGCAGCAACTCCATGTGCGTGAGCACGAAGTCGCAGTCCTTGATCTGCGCGTGGCAGCGCCAGCAGGTTGTTACTCTCCTTCATATAGTCCTGGGATCGACTCCCCGATCGTCCCACGTAGCTCTTGCTTTTCCATACCTGAAAACCACCAGGTTACACCCAGAAAACCACCTGGAACATACCTGGAAGCCGCCCAACAGGGGACTCCATGTGGGCGTGAGCCACGAAAGTCACAGTCCTTGATCTGGCGCGTGCAGGCGCCAGCAGGTTGTCGCCTCTCCTTCATGTAGTCCCTGGATCGACTCCAGCTCCAACCGTGCCTCAGGCTTCTCCTCCACCTCCCGCGCAAAACTCCCGCAGGTCGCTGCCTTGACCCAGGATGTTTGATACGACCTGAAAGAGCGAGAGGGAGCGAAAGAGATACGTAAGGGGACCCATATGGAACCTGGATCGACTCCAGCTCCACCTGCCTCAGCTTCTCCTCCACCTCCCGTGCGAACTCCCGCAGGTCGCTTCCCTGGCCTAGGATATTTGATAAGACCTGTGAGAAAGGGAGATATGAGAGGGGGGAGGGGGATGTGAAAAGTTCTATACGGTGGTGTGTGTGGGACCTGAATGGACTCCAGATCCACCTGCCTCGGCTTCTCCTCCACCTCCTGAGCAAACTCCTGCAGGTCATTGCCTTGGCCCAGGATGGTGGACACCACCTGGGAGAGAAAATTCAAAGGAGAAAATAAATTCAGGGGGGAAAAAGGAGAAAATACTTTCAGGGGGGAAAGGGAGATCAAGTGGCAATGGGAAATAGAAGACAAAACGTTCTTTATGATTCTTATTCCTGTTGGATTTTGACAATAAGTCCTGGCTGCTCAAATGATGAATATGGAGGGGGCTCATGGCCTTCACGAAGCCAAATATGGCTCTGGCATTTAGAATGTAAAACCAACCCCTGGGCCTTTGCCTTGGCCTCCGGGAAGCACTACTCACCTGCTTTGCTCTCGCCAGCAATTAACTCCTCTCTGGCACAACTGACCTCGTGGTCTTCGAATCGGTCAAAATCTTCCCCGAACCTGCTTTTGAGTCGATCAAAAAGCGAATTCCTCTAACACACCGACAACTGACCTCATGGTCTTTGAATCGATCAAGATCTTCCCGGAGCCCCTGAAGGAAAGACTCGTCCCTGCATGGAAGAGCGGTTAGAGATGTGAATATGCAGGCAATGAGTCTCAGCATCCCTTTTGAGGCGCCTCAAAAGTCGTCCCTGTGAAAGAAGAGCGGTCATGAATATGCATGTGAATATGCAGGCAATGAGTCTTAGCATCCAGACACAAGCATACACACAGCCAAGTCAATTCTTCAAAACTGAGAGTAGTTCTGTGCCAAAAATCTCTCAATAAAGGCAAGAACCAGATTCAGAAATGTTGCTCCATGCTCAAAGGCTCGGTGCTTGCTTACACGGCGACATCTTCGCCGAAGGTCAAATCGCCTCCTGTTGTGTGCAGTGCTGTCCCCATGGCGTCATCCTGCATGGTTTCAGTGGAAAACCAACGAACCAATATTGTCAAAATGTCTCAAAGCCAACCCCTGTGCCGTCCCCATGGCGTCATCCTGCATGGTTACAGTGGAAAACCAACGAACCACACTTAGTTAGAATGGAAACTACTTTCTGAATCCTCACCAGAGCCAAACAGTCCGTCCAGCAACTGAGCAGCCAGTTCTTCCGTCTCTCGGTACTGCGAGTTCAGACGGAAAACGCTTACCGAATCGTCGTCAGAACCGATAATCATCCAGCAACTGAGCAGCCAGCTCTTCCGTCTCTAGTTACTGCGAGTTCAGACGGTAGCGGACTTCAAAAGCGGACTACGCTAACGCTTACCGAACCATCGTCAGAACCGAACAGCTCGTCCAGCAGCTGAGCAGCCAGTTCGCCCGAGGATAACTGCTGCAAGTTCAGGCCGAAACCACCGAAACCTTCCAGAAGGAAACCATCCGAATTCTGACAAAAACGGCTTACCGAGTCGTCGTCAGACCCGAATAGCTCGTCCAGCAACTGAGCAGCCAGTTCTTCCGAGGATAGCTGCTGCGGAACCGACGACCTCCTGTCGTCAGCCGAATCAGGCCCACCGTGACTTGGCAGTTTCCCATTGGTTGTCATCGCTGGTGCGCCTAGGCTTGCTGCGGGTAGGGACGACGGTCCGGGATTTGAGAATAACGTGTGAGGACTCGCGACGCTTGCCATGGATTAAATCGCGATTTGAGAGCTACTAATCAGACTGACGACTTCACTTGGAAAGCTTTCAGTCTAGCTCAGAGCGAAAACGCCTTCATGGAATGTCGTTGTTGAAAGAGTCCTATAACGAGGCCCGAATCGCGGTTCCAGACGCATCGAAACAACGATATCAGGACGCGAAACCGAAACGCGGCTCAGACTGAACTGCTTGATGATCCTTCTAGCTGCTCAGGCTGTGAGGCTGACTTGCAAGATGTCAAGATTCTGCTGGTGTCATTCATGGCTGGTTTGGAAAAGACGAGCCTAGATTTTGCCGGTTTGGCTCGAAGCAGAACCAAGGGTTTCGATAAAGAGGGAGCCGCTAGTCGTGCACTACATTGTCGACTTTACCAAACGTATGCAGCAAATCCAACCACGTTCCACTTCACAAGTCATCGTTCCACCATTAAAACCCCGCGGCAAAATAGCCTAAGTCCCTTTTTGGACGACGAGACATCTGGTCGGAAGTGCGCACAACTTCTGTCCCAAACCAACCCCTCTGGCGTCTGGTGGGGGGTTGATCAAGTGGGGTCCTAGCTTGATAACCCCTCAAGCTATTTTGCCGTGGGATTTTAAGCAGATTGGGCAACGTGAGCAAACTCTGATGACCAGAATTTCACTTGATTTATAACATGTCCTCTGAACATATTTACATTATTTACAAGTGCAATCATCACCATCTTGCCCCCCGCAAAGCCAAGCCCCTACTCCTGCAGTACCTCAAAAGTCAAGCCCCTCTGAAGAAGTCAGATGCGCTAACATTCCCTTCACGAAGCACATGTCCACTCCCACCCACAACCTCGTTACACTCAGGACAACGCGACTCCACCCACGCCCTGCCACACTCCCCTATGACATACAAATGCCCGTTCGGGCACCGGTACCAATGGCCTCCTCCCAATCCTATTGCTCTGTACACGTCGCCCTTTTCGTGCTCTGACAGGGCGAAGTAACGAGGCTCGTCTCGAACAGATGCTTCCAAGGTAGGCAGGTCTTCATCGAGCAATCTCCGAGCGCTCTCCCCAAGGGTGTCGTTTTCTCTCACAGATGCCAGATGGTGGTAAGCCACCATCCGGCACTGAATCTTGGCCTTCTCAAGGTACTCCAGCTGCTGCTTCTTTGGTCCACCCTGCCACAAGAATGCAGATTGAAGGGTTTACAAGAGTAAGGCAAGAGTAACGATCTGATTGCTAACCACTGCATGAAATGTTGGGTAAGTTGGCAGATGGCATAACATTTTCAACAGGATAGTGTACCTCTCGAGATGCAAAAGGTACGCATAGACGCAAGGGGCTCACAAGGCCAGCAGGGGAGTTTGAGAGCAGGCGTTCCGCCATCATGCCTTCCACGAACGCACGGTACACGTCAACCAGCTCCAGCCGCGCCCTTGCCTCCAGTCGATGCGCCTTACGCTTCACAGCCCACTTAATTGCCTGACCAACATACTTCTCCGCAATCCTCAGACTCACTCGCACAACCGCCCTGCAATCCTCCACACGGCGACTCAAGTAGGCCGCTTTCCTCGAGCTGGACCCACCACTGCTCAGGCGAGATGGACCAGAAGCTCTCCACACATTCTTGAGAAGGCAGCGCAGCTGGAGGAAGTTTGCCGCCATGAGCAGCTGGAAGGCTTTCCCCAGCATCATGAGCGCCTCACAGAGGGCCGGGGATCCGGCTGGGGGACATACAGGAGCTGGCATTCCTCCTCCCAAGTGGATGCAGTGGGCCTGCACTGGTTCCAGATAGCACCTGCTTACCCTTCCTGCTGCCACTTCCAGAGCTAGCAGTGCTGTCTCGAACCCGGGACTGGTCCCCCAGCAGGTAATGCCTCCTCTGCAGTGCCGCCACAGAAGCCTGGTAGGTCTGCTGCGTGGGCGGGTTCACAGCGGTAGTGCGAAGCCGGCCCGTCTCATGGATCAGACGTGTTGCCGCCTGAGCCAGCTCCTGCAACTGCCTGGGCTGAGCAGTCTCAGGGAGCGAGGAGATCACCTGGCTCAACCGTGACAACTTCCTCTGCACACCTTCCTGGTCAGCGGAGCAGCTGAGGGCAAACTTGCGCTCGGATTGGTCCAGAAGAGCCTTGTTGACCATTCGGCCATAGCGCCGGGAACCGGTGATTGGCTGGCGGCACTCCGGGCAGCCCTTGAGAGCAGACAGATTGCCATCTTCAAACGGCAGCACTGCCCACCCACTTGGCCCCGGCCCACCTCCAGCGCAACTGCTCCCACCACCAAGATCACCTGCAGGAAGACCAGAACCCGCACCTGGGCCATCAGCTCCTACCCCACTGCTGCTGCCATATGATGCCTCGGACTCCAGATACACCTGGTTGAGCCCCAGGTGGCCATCCAGGGTGTCCATCGTATAAGCATGTCCGCACGGCAGCACAAGAACGGGGCTCTCATCGGGATCGATCTCCCCTAGAGTCTCCAGAGTCACCAGATCCACCGTCATCTCCCGCTTCTCCTGCGCGCCACACCCAGCCGCCGTGCAGAACGCCTTCGGGGGGCACTTCTCCCCGCACAGCGACGGGCACTGGTGCCCGCACTGGAGCGCCTTCTCACACCGCCGCTCGCACGGGAGGCGGTCGCACGGCGCCCCGCAGGGCAGGGAGCAGGCCCCCTGGTGCTTGCAGTTCCAGCCGCAAGGCTCGGCGCACGGAGCGCAGGTTCGGTGGCAGGGCTGGGGGCAGGAGCTGTGCTGGCAAGCGACCAGGCACTTCTTAAAGCACAGGTTGCAGGGTCTCCCATCGTGGCAGGTGTCGGGGCATAAGTGGCCACAGGGAAGGGGTCGCTGCATGGCTGGGTGCACTTCTTATGCTTCTTTGCAGGCTGCTGCTGCTGCCGTGCCTGCTCCTGCTCCTCTTCCTCAGCATTCTGCTCCTCTGAGTTGGCAGCTGGAGCAGCAATGCACTGGCCACAGGGAGAAATGCACGTGTGCCCGCAGGAATCCGAGAGGACAACACCGCAGCGAGCGGTGCACAGCTTAGGGTTGCTCAGCCTGTTAGCAGCCTCACTGCACTGGACTGTCTGCTTATGGCCGCACAATGGCATGGTGACTTCCACAATTTCCCTGCCATGATGTGGTAAGCAAATGGAAACAAGCCAGCACATGGAGAGAACGGCAAGTTTTAAGAGAACAGAAGGGGAATACAGGGAGGAAATTATATCGAGCAAGGAAAGTAAAAGAAAGTAACATAAGTGAAACAGAGTGAACTCACGAGCAGAAAATGGAAGTCGGCTTAATGCGCTTGAAGCACGGAATGTTAAACGCCTGATGGCCACAGGGGAGCGTGAGGCTACTAATCTTGACAGAGCAGGGGCCGCAGACTTCCCCACACTGCTTAGCACAAGTGTGCTGGTACGGACACTCCTCCAGCGGACGGATTCGGCTGCACTCCTTTGGGCAGAACGCATTGGCATGCGCCCTGTCGTCCCCATGGCACCTGGTGGGGTGAAGGATTACAGAGTTCTGAATCCATATAGAGATTCAAAGGAGCAGTGACTTAGGAACACGGCAGAGCGGGGTGGCTTGGGTACCATGCCCTAGCCAGGAAGCTAATGTAGCAAGCATGTAGAGTTCTCACCTGCGGGGCAGGTGTGGCGGGGGTCGTTCACACATAAATGCCCCATGTGATAGCATGTGGGGATTCTGACCTGCGGGGGCAGGTGTGGCCGCACGGAGTGAGTCGGAAGCCGCACATCTCGGAGCAGCCGCCCTCGCTGGCCTTCTCCCTGAACTCCCTCGCGCCATGGATGCGCGTCACCGTGGCGGGGTGGTTCACACACCGCAGCGGGATGAACCTCTGGATGCCGCCCTGCCCTGCAGGATGTCCAGGATTCTCGGCCAGAGGACAGACTTGGAGCCCGCTCGCGTTGAGCAAGCCCGCATCGTGTTGGCGTTGCCTGAACCAAACAAACAGTCCGGCAGAGGAGAGGAGGAGAACAGAGAAGAAGGAACGAACCTCTCAATGCCGCCACTGCTTTGTAGGATGTCCAGGATTCTCCGCCAGAGGACAGACTTGGAGCCTGCTGGCGTTGTGTTGGCGATGCCTGCTCCATGGAATACTTTAGTGGGGAGAAAGGAGAAGGAAATTCGGTGAGCAGAGAAGAGCAGAGAAGTGCAGAGAAGAGAGGGTTGAAGGGCCGACCACTCTACAAGACAGCGAGGATTCTCAGCCGGAGGACAGACTTGGAGCTCGCTCATGTTGTGTTGGCGTTGCCTGGCCCGCAAAAAGGCCAAAGGGAGAAGAAAAAACAATCACCAGTAGCGGGGTAGGTCTCATGCCTTGAGTGTTCATGAAGCATCAGTATACTTGGCAATGATGCAGTAGCTACAACTTGAGTACCACTAATGTACGTGCCATGCTTGCTGCGGAAGAGTAGATGGATCCATCACTTGCACGCACCGATAGTGTACATGCCATACACTCATACTCACCCATAAGGTACATGCCATACACTCAAACTCACCAATGAGGTACATCCCATGCTTGGCGCGGGACAGCAGCACGTTGGTGCGGTTGGGGCTCTTCAGGAACCCAATCTTGCCGTCCAGGTTGTTGCGCACAAGAGATACGATCACCACCGTGCTCTCCTCGCCCTGGAAACTGCACCACCATCATAGAACCACAGAACCACACAAAGCAACAACCGCTAACCCAGTGAATATCTCACAGTGGAGAACAGCTCACAAGCTTGCTACTAGAGGACGCAGGTCTGTGGCCTGAGAAACGCAAGGTTAATGCGACTTCGCGGTCCACACCCTCACAGTCTATGGCATTCTGCGCCTAAGGTCTTTTGAAGCACGGAATACCGTTAGAAGCAACGCCCACAGCAGTAGCAATACCTCCCTCGACCTCGCCCCCACCCACCCACCCCACCCCTCCACATTGGCCTGCTAACAAACAACACACAAGCGAAAAAACTACTCGGCTTGTTCCTCCACTCCGCAACAACAACTGCTGCTTTGCCAGCTTACTTGTCAATGGTTGCCAGCCGAACAGCATCCCGCAATCGCCGTGGTTGCCTTGGGTGCAGTAAACCCAGCCCCAATCCCTTCCTGCCCGCTGCACTCCCCGCCGCCTCCCACTCCCACTATCCTCCGCTCCAGGTCACCTCCCCTAGTTGCCGCCTTCTCCTCGCCTCCTCCACCACCTCAGCATCGCCCTCCCCCAGGCGCACGTTGACCACCTGAGAAAGCGCCTGGCGCAGCTTGAGCAGCTGCCCCACGTAGGGCGTGAGGATGGTGATCTCGCCCCCGCGTACCCCTGCTGCAGCAGGTACGTCGCCAGCCCCACCACCATGGCCGCCTCCCCCGCGTTCGACTTGGACTTGCCCTCGCTCAGGTCGTCCCCGCCGCTCTCCGGGCTCTCGTGGTCCCAAAAGTGCAAGTTCGACGCCATGCCACGCACATCGGGGTACCTGGGGAATGAAAGGAGGGAGAGCATATGGGAATATCTCTCCCTCGCTCAGGTCGTCCCCACCACTCTCAGGGCTCTCGTGGTCCCGAAAGTGCAGGTTGGACGCCATGCCGCTAACGTCAGGGTATCAGGTACCTGGGGAATGAAAGGAGGGAGAAGCATATGGAATATCTCTCCCTCGCTCAGGTCGTCCCCACCGCTCTCAGGGCTGTCGTGATCCCAAAAGTGCAGGTTGGACGCCATGCCTCTAACGTCTCGTGGTCCCAAAAGTGCAGGTTGGACGCCATGCCACGCACGTCAGGGCATCTTGGGAGGATGGATGGACGGATGGATGGACAGTCCTTCAGCTGTAAGTAGATGGTGCTAACCAGATGGGGCAGAATCTGAGACAATGCGAAAGGCAAGTCTAAGTGGCAGCATTTGAGAGACAAAAAACATCTCACAAACCATCTACCACCCATAGACGAATGGATGGTCCCTGCAGCCCACGTACATGGTGCTGCGGACAAGATCGGACATGTGAGACGAAGAGAGCATTGGAACGACAGACGTCTCAGACACCATCTACATACCCATGGACGAATGGGTGGAAAGATTGCAGAAACCATCTACATACCCCTCAACGAACGGATGGTCCCTGAGGTCCGGGTAGATGGTGCTGCGAATGAGATCGGCGATTTCTGGCGCATGCGGCGCTGGGTGGCGAGGGTGAAGACGGGATCTGCTTGGAGAGCGCGAGGCGCTCGAAGAGGGAGACGTCCAGGTCGAAGCCCTTGTAGGAGTCCTTGCTGAGCTCGTACAATTCCACCTTGGGCGCAGCTGCAGGTGGTCGCCTGGCAATAGGGAGACAGCAATGACACGGGTTTGAGAAAGGCTAGGTGATCAGCAAGAGAGTTCTTGCTCAGCTCGTACACCTCCACCTTGGGCAGCAGCTGCAGGTGGTCGCCTGGTGGCAGGGGAGCAAGCATGGATAAGTGATCAATAGGAGGATCCATAGAGGGCTAAGTGCTTGGACAGAGATCCCTTGCTCAGCTCCTACACCTCCACCTTGGGCCGCAGCTGCAGGTGGTCGCCTGGTGGCCATGGCACAAGGAGGGTAATGAGACAACGAGGAAATTGGCATACGGACTTGGTTGCTCAGCTCGCACACCTCCACCTGCAGCTGCAGGTGGTCGCCTGCCAACAGGGGAGCAAGCAATGGAACATGCACAAGTGTTGAGATTTCTGCATCCCCAGAACACAATGCCTATGAGCTGAAGTAGTCCCAGCCACAGCACCTGCCATACGTATAAGTATACCGAGCTGGGCCTGCCATACCTATGAGGATGACGTGCTGGGTCTGCGGCGTGAGCGAGGTGAGGATGTGGGCCTCGAGCACCTCGGCCGCCTCCTCCACAATGACGACTCGCGGGCCGAGAGCAGTGATGAGGCGCTGCATCTTCGCCACGCCTGAGGTCGTCATCCCCACCACCTGCGCCCTCTGCAACACCTGCAGGTCCTCCACCTGCTGCAGCTCGCTGCGCTCCTGCACCTTCCTGCATATGCGAATCACACACAATATGGGACATTTGCAATGGAGTTACACAGCACATTCATAGCACCCTGGTCCCCCACCTGCTGCAGCTCGTTGCGCTCCCTCACCTTCCTGCATATGCGAATCACATACAGCATGGGACATTCGCAATGGAGTTAAATAGCACATTCACAGAGCCCTCCTCAGCACCTGCAGGTCCTCCACCTGCTGCAGCTCGCTGCGCTCCCTCACCTTCCTGCATATGCGAATTACATACAACATAGGACATTCGCAATGGAGTTAAATAGCACATTCACCGCGCCCCTCACCACCTGCAGGTCCTCCACCTGCTGCAGCTCGCTGCGCTCCTGCACCTTCCTGCGCTCCAGCTCGTCCATCTGCTGCAGCTCGCTCCGCTCCCTCACCTTCCTGCTCATGCACACCACGTGAAACATGAAACGTTTGCACCCAGTTTACATAGCACATTCACAAAATCCTCCTCAGCGCCCGCAGATCCTCCAAGCCTCCACCTGCTGCAGCTCGCTCCTCTCCCTCACCATCCTGCTCATCCGCAATGGAGACAAATGGAGCATCGCTTTCAGATTCACAACACAATTGCCAAGAATTCGTGGAAAAACTTTGATATCTACTCGAAAGGCCCCACAGTGTACCTCCCACAATAGATTGATCCATCACCAGGAATGACATCTGCACCCTCAGGACCATCAACCATCACACAACCACCAGCCACGGACCTTGCAAAATTCTCAACCTCGGCCTCGATCGCAGCATTGGCCGTGGCCCGCACCTCCCCCACCCAGAATTCCACCAGCTTCCTTCTCTCCTGCGCGCTCGTCGCCCATGGGTCTTCCACGTACAGCAGCTCATCCACCTCCCGATCACTCGCCTCATCCACCGCCACAGGCCCGATCTGTTGCTCCTCCGTCTCCTGCTGCTGCTCCATCTGAGGCTTGTCTATCAGCTCCTCCCCATTGCCCCTGCCGCGTTCGTTCCCCAAATCACCGAACGCCTGAAAAAGGTCCTCCACTGTAACCCCTCCTCGCTGACTACCCTTACCCGACTGTTCCAGCATTCTCGCCCCCATGGCTGCTGTCTCAACTCCCATTACCCGTAGGGCTCCAAGACCGAGGCACGACAGCAAGCCAGCAGCCCTGCTGCCTGTGGCATGTCCCGTACCGCTGCTGCCGTGGCCGCCAGCAGCCCTGCTGCCTAGATCTACTGCCTCTCCATCATCATCACCATCACCACCATCATCCCCTTCATCATCAACATAGATGGATGACATGAGCTCAACCAGCCCTCTCAGCTCATCCCCCACGCCACTATCACTCCCACTGCTCAGATGCCACCCCTCCCCAACCTCAACACCACCTAGCATGCTCAGGGCTTCGTAGGGATTCTGCGTCGGTGCCTCTTCACTGGGAGCGGCTGTACCCACCGCCCCCAATCCCCGGTCCCCGGTTCCAGCGTTTGGGGAAATATGCCTAGACCGGCGGCAGCTTCCCTTCCTTCTCTTCCCAAGTTGCTTCCTTTTTCTTGCGGCGAGGAATTTCCTTCGCGAGGCCTCGCTTCCACCGGCTCCAGTTATCTAGGCCCACTTGCTGCCACACAAGCCAGAACACAGGACAGTAGAGCTTTCAGAGTCACACAACAGAAAGGACCGATGAGATTCCTTAGCCCGGCCTCGCTTCCGCCGCTCAAGTTGGTTCGACCCACTTGCTGCCAGGAGAACAAGAACAGCGAAAAAATCAGAGAAAGAAAAACAGAGGATGCAGAACAAGAGAGGATGCAGAACAAGATCAAAGGAGTCAACGAACGAAACCACACTCAAGACGAGTCGAAAAGCATAAGCATAGTCGAGGTAGAACGACTGGGACAGCGTGATGGTTGGGGGAGGTGGGTGCTGTGAACTTCTCACCTCAAACCCGTCATCGTCTGCCTCCTTGGAAGTGCGAAGCGCCTGGAAGAACGTGGGGTGGTTGGCCATGAGGTGGGAGAGATGGCGCGCCAGGGACGGCGAGTGCGTTGTCCGTGCGCTGCTGCAGGGCATCGCTGTACGTGGCGATCACCGCCTCCACCTCCCTCAGCCGGCTTCGCACCTCGTAGCTCGAGTCCCTGTAGGCTGCACAGACACACCGCCCACAACAACGTTTCCGCCATACGTTGAGAGAAGGACTAGCATACAGCATACAGGCGGTCGAGCTAGTCCTTCTCCATCGGACAAAAGGACTACCATCCAGCACAGCACTTGGAAAAGATAGAAGGTGCGGAAGTGCCGAAAGTGAGAGTATATCAGTTCAGTTGACTGACACTATCTGTGTTGTGACACGCTTTTGCAATGCATTGCTCACTTCGGCTGTGGTAAGGGTTCGCGCCTCGGATGATGTTTGAAAGATTATACTCCTGCAGGGACTCGGACCTGCTCCTGCCCCCCACTCGAACCACCTGTTCAAGAGCCATGAGAAGAACCACAGCAAGAGTCGCAGACCAAACCCACAGCTCCTGGGCCACATTTTTGTAGGCGCCTCAAAAATCAGCTCCTGGGCCACAGAAAGAGCCAAAAGAAAGCCACCCATCTCGCTCGGATGGCACACGGGCATGCAAGATGATCATGCGGCCGCGTTTGCACTGATGTGTACGACCCTTCAGAAAGAGGTGTTATAGAAAGTGCGGATCTGGAACTAGAAGCAGCCTTTGGACGTACCCTCTTGATGCCACTGGCAATGAGCCCCTCCAGGAACTGGTCCAGAGCGTGGTTGGTGAAGCACACGCAGAGGATGGGCCCAGAGGACTCGCCTCATCCGTGCCTCGAGAAGAGCTCCCTCCAGCACTCGTCCCAGGGCCCTTGAGGGCGTTGCTCAGCAGGATTTCCACAAGCTTAATCCCGACAAACGTCTGCCATGGAAACAGAAGCCCCAGTAAATATAGCATGTACGTGCGGTTGGCATGCGAAATTTTGAAGATGAACTCCTTCAGCAACATAGTGATGCGCTGCACTAGTTTCCTGCCCTCCCAGCTTATTCCCCCAGCTTGTAAGCACATCAGCCATTTTTGAGTCAGGGCTTGAGTCTGCTTCAAACCCACCCAGTGACACCGATCACCAGACCACTCACCTTGCCCGTTCCCGGTGGTCCCTGCAGCAGGGCGAACTCCTGCGTCAGGGCAGCTTGGAGACCCACAGCTTGAGGCCGGTCCAGCGACGTGCAGCGCAGGAGAGCATCGATGGGGAAGGCAGTGGGGTTGGACACGATCACGTTCCTGATGGCGAACGAGTCCTCTGCAGCGCTCTCAGCAGCACTCCCAGCAGCGCACTCTGCAGCGTTCTGGGCACCGTTCTGGGCAGTGTTCTGTGCGTGGGAGGATGAGGGCTTGGTCTGAAGCAGCAAGCCCAAGTCATACCTGCAAAAGACACAAAAGACTCGCAATGTCAACCCTCCACTCAGAAGGCATAAGCCCTCCTTGACTCGTCTTTCCCGCTCACAGGCCAGTTTCC